ATACCACTCATCAAACTGTTCGTGCAGTACGGTCGTGGTGAAGAGGCGGTCGTCCGTGCAACACCCTTTACGGCATCCGGCTTGGTCGAGCGACTGTTCAGACTCGGAGTTCGCCTCGAGTGGGCTGCACAACCATCGAGGCATCCTAATCTTTATAGCAGTGGGATCGTAGCTATTGGTCTGTAGTTTTGGGGTAACTGCGGGTCGCCAGACTTGTGGATGACACTGATCGTTGTGCGTCTCCATGGATCCATTGTTGATTGTTGTGCGTCTCCATGGCTCAGAAAGCTAGAGCTAGAGAGAGAGAGAGAGAACTATTGTATACATCAATATATCGATATATCTACCTATCTATCTATCTGTCTATATATCTCCGCCGGCCCCGTTGTGGGGCCACCAACCTGTAGGACTAGGTTCCTGCTCTCTGCGTCAGTTGCAGTTTCAAATCTCCAATGGTAGTCCTGCTTTCTGCTTCCTACTGCTGTTGATGTCCGCGCGAGGGGCGGGGGAGTCCGAAAACCACCCTGGTTGCCCCCCCCCACCAGGAGGGTTCTCAGAGCTTCCCGGGGGTCGTGGGGCACGTAAACATGAATGCGATTCGCGCCCCCGACGCCATAACCCCTCGTGAATTACGCAATGCTCGCGCCCCCGAAGCCACATATCATACATTGTAATGCATGTTTGCGCCCCCGAGGCAACAAACCTTTGCAAATCACGCCTCGCGTCCCCGAACCCATGACCTTTTCTAAATTACAGCGTGTTCGCGCCCCCGAAGCCACAACCCCTCGTGAAATACAGAATTCTTGCGCCCCCGAGGCAGCAAACCTTGTTAATTCACACTGTATCCGAATCCCCGAAACCATACCCCCTGGTAACTTATTCAAATTCCCGTCCTCGAGGCCAGAAGCCTTTTCAAATTGTGCAATTATTGCATCCCCGAGACATCAAACCTTCGCAAATTATGCAAGATTCGCGCCTCCGAGGCCATAAACCCTTGCAGATTACGCCATATCCGTATTGCCAAGGCTAAGAGTGCTCCAAGGTGCCCGAAGATGGTTCCGAGGCGGCCCGAGAGGGCCCCAAGAGGCCCCACGAGCGCTCCAAGAGGCCTCCCGAGAGAGCCCCAAGAGGCCAACATCGTCGATTCAAATTTTTGTTTGCAAGAGTTGTGTGATTTCTCGCATTTTCGGCATTCCGACGCTCTAAGACGGCTCAAGAAGCTCCCAAGACCGCGCCAAGACAGCCCAAGACGCCTCCACGAGGGCGCTAAAACTGCCTAACAGGGCTCCAAGATGGCCCAAGAAGCGCTCCGAGAAGCCCCGAGAAGGCCCCAAGAGGCCGCCAAGAGGCCCCAAGAGGCGCCCAAGAGGCGCGCAAAACGCTCCCAAGAGGCCTCCAAGAGGCCCACCATATACCCCACGTGGCCCCAAGAGGCCCCAGAGAGGCGCCCACACCGCCTCTTAAAAGGCCCCCGAGAGGGTCCCCACGACATCCCAACAAATGTACAAGACGCCTCAGACCCACAACCCAGGCACGGTGGCGGAATGGGTTGAAGGCCACTCGGATAACGCCAACGTCTCAATATGCTCTGATGGTTCCTATCCGTCCCCGCATGATGTTCCCAGATGCGCCATGGCAGCGCCGAGACGCACCGACGCGACTCTGAGATATTCCATTCTGAAAGAGAGGGGGCTGGCGGCAGGGGGCGAAGCCCTTACGGAATCTATCTATATATCGATATATCTATGTATAGATATACGCATACATATGTACATAGAAAGAGACCGTACCCATTTTCGTGTATACGGTATGCAGATGCATATAAATACGGTCATAGACATGATCAACTTCATCTACCCCTGCCGTGACGAGCGTGCCATTCCACAGGGGCCGCATTAGCAATGCCGCGCGCGTCGTGCACATTGTGACACGAGTGCCGTTCGAGCCGTGCCATGCCGCGCGTGCCGTGAACACCATGCCGCACTTGTCGTGCCGCACGCGCGCGCGCGCCATGCGCGCGTAGCACGCCGTGCGTATTGCCCGCTGGATGCCATCGTGTGCTTACCCACGCTGGTATTCGTGTGATGGCTGGCACCCAGGTGTCCTCTGTCTCGGAAAAACTTGTGACGTATTGAATTTTGTTTCTACGTTTTCGGCCTCTGGATAACAATTGCCCCTACACTCGCTGTGTAGATCAGACGGTGTTTCTAACGTGTTCGCCGCGTGTCGGGGCGATGACCAGCTCTCTCGCTGTAGTTGCGCTACTGTGGAACCTGTCGGTGAGGTGAGGCCCCGGGCCGTGTATCCTCCGATCCTGCGCAGGGCCATGACGAGGGTGCGTTGACTGCGCATGTGAGATGCGGCGGGAAGTGGCGGTGCCTTGACCAGAGAAGACTTTGTGGAGCCTGGAATTTGACGCTGAGTGCGCCGCAGGGGGCGACCAACTACGCAGTGCCTCCTGGTGGCATTACGAGGCCTGGGAAGGCGCCAGCACCACCTTGACACGAAACACTGGCACATCATTCAAAGACTAAGAAATATTCGACCAAAGCTGGAAGACCCAATGTCCGCATCAAACAACGGGCATGGAACTGAGACAACTCGCCCAATAGGTCCTGCCAAACCATAATGGCGCAATACTTCGAGCAAGGACCGACCGTCCCGGCATTCCTATAGGCCTATCACGTCATGTTCTTAGAACCAACACCTGTTCTAAAAACAACACAAGTGTTCTTGGAACATAAGACCGATGCATGACACAACACAGTCTCAACCCGAACTTGTCTAAGAGCATTTCGTGCAAACCACAAACGGTTTCTTAGAGAATTCTTTGGTGGGCCTGCCGGCAAGCCAGGACGCTTCGCCAATGCTTGAATAATGGCTGCCCACGCCTGGCGGCTGGTCACCCTCTTCAGCGACACTACTCGAATGCTTGATACTGGGCGCACGGCATCATATGCGCGTAACAACTGCCCCCAGGGCCCTGACGAGGCCTGGCACGCCGAGCCGATCTAAGCCCAGCTGGCGTGAGTGGTTCAGAGCTTGTCCTCTTCCAACCCCCGTTCTTCACCTGCGGGGATCTACCCCTCCCCCTGCCCTCTTCACTTGTGTTTGAGGGGGGAGGGGGATCGCGGAAGTCAAACTCAGTGGTTTTAGCTAGGTTTCGACCACGTTTTGCTCCCATGGGGGAGCCTTAATGGTGGAGCTCCCCTCCTTTGATCGATCTCCTCCAAGATGGCCGAAAGATAACTCCCAAGACTCCCAAGGGTGCCCCAAGATGGCCGCAAGAGGTACCCCAAAAGGCCCAAAGAGCCCCCCAAGAGGCCCTCAAGGTCCCCCCGAGGCTCCGAAGAGCTCCCCCAGACGCCCCAAGGGGCCCCCCCAGAGGCACCCAAGACGTCTCAAGATGCCTCGGCGAGAATGCCAGCATCATTGACTTGACTAAGGTCTTGGTCACGTTTTGGCCTCCTGGGGGGGGAACCCTGATGAAGGAATCCCCCTCCTTTGATCGATCTCCTCCAAGATGGCCCCCGAGGCTCCCGAGGGAGCCCCAAGATGGCCTCAAGGGGTGCCCCAGAGGCCCAAAGAGCCCCCCGAGAGGCCCCCGAGGTGCCCGCGAGAGGCTCCCAAGAGACCCCCCAGGCGCCCCAGAGGCACCCCAGACGCCCAAGATGCCTCGGCGAGAAGGCCATCATCATTGATTTTACTAATGTGTTGGCCACATTTTGGCCTCACTGGGGGGGGGCCCTAAGTAGGGTTCCGCCCTCCTTTGATCGATCTCTCCCACGATGGCCCGATGATGGCCCCCCAAAGCTCCCAAGGGTGCCCCAAGACGGCCCAAAGAAGTTCCCAGTAGGCCCAAAGAGGCCCCCAAGAGGCCCCCAAGAGGCCCCCAAGGTGCCCCAATAAGCTCCCAAGAGACCCCCAAGAGGCTCCAAGAGGCTCCCAAGAGCCACCCAAGACGCCACAAGAGGCATCCGGGACTGCCCAGAGACCCCCAGGACGCCCGAAGCGGACTCCAAGAAACTTTCGAGCGAAATCCGAAGAGACTCCGAGAGGCATCCAAGATGACTCTGGCCTTTCTGCTCGCCCCCCTCCTCCTCCTCTTCCTCATCCTCCTCCTCTCCTACTTTTCCTCATCTGCCTTTTCATCCGTCTTCCTCGTCCCTCCTCTCCCTCCCCCACTTCCTCGTCGTCGTCCTCCTCCTCCTCAACCTGCTGCTGCTGCTGCTGCTCCTCCTCCTCCTCTTGCTCCTCCTCCGATTCCTCCTCCATCATCCCCCTCTTGGGGTACGACGTCTTGCGCAACCCTTATTCCACTGCATTATACTCCACATTCCGGATCAACGCAACTCGTCTGGGCATCGTTTCTGGATGGGCTGGTGGGGATACTTTTTTTTGGTCGGCGGCTCCGAGGCAACGGACAGGGAGCGGTAGGCGCTGGTGGGGATACGCGACGCGTCTAGAATTTACCATCAGGCTGCGACAAGCCGTGCTATGCTCAGGCGCGTGCACACAGGGGCTCAGTATAACTAGCTGAACACACTTACCTGGCACTGCCTTGGCTTCGAATTCTTGACGGCCTGGTTGGCGCGACCACTACTTTGATTCCACAGGTCACCCCATCCTTGATTCTCTCAGCTCCTCACGCAATAATTTCAGAATGGGCGCGATATCTTCTCACTGCCAATGCGGGGATCACATAACCTCAAGGTTGAAACTTGCATGGCAACACTCGGTTTCGGAAATAGGCTGTTTGCATCCGTCCGTGCCTGCTCGGCCGTTTCGCACGTACGCTTCCGAGTGCAGCCATTCACCGCAGCTGGTGCCACCTGCTCCGTGATGCATTGTCGTAGCCGCCGGCGTAACCATCGCACCGAGGCCAAGAGCCTCTCGGGCAGTTGCGCGCCTCCTGTGTCGTGGCACGAGCACAGTTGAGCGTGCACGCGCTCTGCTCCGACCTTTCCTCCTCACCCTCATCCATCTTCCCTTCCTCTGGCCTGCACAAACAGCAAGGCCCTTCTCCTCGTACTTGGCCGTCTTGGCCGACCCGTAATACCTTCCCTCACCCGAGTCTGGGCCAGAATCAGTAGATCTCCAAATTCAAGCCCAGTGCAACCACGGATGATATAATAGGCAACACATAGAACGCACTACTTGCTACTCCTCAGATCGGTCCAACGTGCCGATGCTACAGAGCTCGCTTCCGAACTCCGCCACTCCACCGAATGACTTTGCCTTACAGAAAGCATGGCGTGTGGCGCGGGAGGGGTTCGGTCTTGAACGGCGTCCCCACGCACGAACAAGTTATGCTATCGGACGTCCCCACACAAAGATGTCGAGGGCTCCCCCGGATCAACTGGGCATGACAGCAGCACCATGACCGAAAGGCCCATGGCATTCAGATATAACGCCTCGAAAGGGGAGACGAAGTGCAAGGAGGCGGAGCAACGAAGAGGACGAGTAATCATGTGGTATACGCAGGGCCCGCGCCGTGCGGCACGGCCTCCCTGGAGGGGCAGCGCGCTGCCCGGGGGAAGCCGACGTGTGGGGAGGGCGCGGCCCCTGAGAGACCACGCGGTCTTCGCATCGCCCCCTAAGTCGCGTTGTGGCGGGAAGGCTGGGTGGGCGGGCAAGGCACGATCCCTGATGCACAACACGCTTTTCGCATAGCCCGCTCCCGCTCGGTCCGACACGGCCACCCTGGAGGGGGAACAAGCCTTCCAGGAAGGGGGTGGAGGAAGAAGGAGGGAGGAGGGAGGAGGACAAAGAGGAGGTGGAGGCAGGAGGATGGAAGAGGATTACCCGAAGAGGAAAGAGAAGGAGTAGGACCAATGTAAACCCAAAACGCATCAACGATGTTGCAATGAACCCTTTTTCCGAACTCCCTCTGGGTAGGCCGCTACAGGAATCTGTTCTCATTGCGAGAAATGTGCCATTGGAAACCATCCGTCCGAGAAGCCTCCGTCGTGCCAAAGCACGGTTCCTGGGACTTCGGCGTCGCGAAGTGACGTGCGCGTTGCGCCCTGACCGTCCCAAGACGTCCGAAAGCACCATTCCTGGCAACACCGCGGATCAGCGTGACTGCTGCGTCCTGACGGTCCGAGATGCCGCTCCTCGGACGTCCACCGCGCCACTGCGCGACACCGTTCCCCGCATGCAAGACGCATGTGCGCGGCGCTCGAGCGAGAGCCGCATTATGGAACGAGAAGCTGCCCTGCATCCTCCTCCTCCTCCTCCTCCTCCTCCTCCTCCTCCTCCCCCTCCTCCTCCTCCTCCTCCTCCTCGCAAATTTCTGCCAAGAGTGTGCGCGGAACACCAAACGAGAACCACATGTTGAGCACGACCCGTCCTGCAGCCGGGAAGCTGCTGCAAGCTTCTGCGACGACTGTGGGAGGCGCTGAGGCGACAACCACATTCAGACAAGCAGGCCGCCCGCCATCGATGAAGCTGTTGCCAACCTTTGAAACGAGTGTGCGCGGCGCGGAAGCGAGAACCACACTTTGGAAACGGCACGCCCTCCATCCGTGAAACAATGGTAAATCCTCCGACGAAAATGCACGGCGCTCAGGCGAGAACCACATTTTGAAAACGGCCCGCCCTCCATTGTGCAACAATCGAAATCTTTTGCGACGAATCTGCGCGGCGTCGAAGCGGGAACCACATTTTGGAAACGGCCCGTCCTCCATCCGTGAAGCTGTTGCAAGCTTGCATTCCATCCGTGACGAATTATGCAATTTCTGGCCGAATGTGCGTGGCGCGGCGACGATAACCATATCTTCAAAACGCCCCATCCTCCATCCGTAAAACAATCGCATGTCTACGACAAGTGCGCGCGGCACTACGACCGGGAACACATTTTGAAAAACACCCGCCCTCCATCCGTGAAACACTTGCAAGCTTCTATCACGAATGTGCGCGGCGCAGCGACGAGAACCACACTCTGAAGACGGCCCGCCCACCATCCGTGAAACACTTGCAATCTTCTGCGACGAATGCGCGCGGCGCTGAGGCGAGAGCCTCATTTCCAGAACGGCCCTCCGTTCGTGGAAAAACACTGCAAACTCCTGCATCGCATATGCACGGCGCTGCGACGAGAACCACACTCTGAAAACGCTCCGCCCTCCCTCCGTGCAACACTTTCATACCTCTACGACGATTGTGCGCGGCGCTGAGACGAGAACCACATTTTGTAAACGGCCCGCCCGCCCTCCGTGGAATACTTTCGAACTTCCACTACGAATGTGCGCGGCGGTAAGACGAGAACCATATTTTGAAAAAGGCCCGCCCTCCATCTGTGATTCACTTGCACGCTTCCTCCACGAAAGTGCGCGGCGCTACGACGAGAGCCACATGTTGAAACGACGAATGTGCGCGGCGACATTTTGAACACGGCACACCCGCCATCCGCAGCACAACTTCAAACTTCTACGACGAATGTGAGAGGCGCTACCAAGGCCCGCACTTCATCCGTGAAACATGTGCGACCTTCTAAGACGAATGTGCGCGACCCTACGACCCGGACCACATTTTCAACAAGGCCCGCCCTGCATACGTGAAGGTGTTGCAAACGTCTACGATGAATGTGCGCGGCGCCACGACTGGAACCACACTTTGAAAACGGCCTGTCCTCCATGCGTGAGAACAATTACAAACTTCCACGACGAGTGCTCGCAGCACTACGACGAGAGTCACATGTTGAAGACAGCCTGCCCTCGAGAATTGCAACATTCTAAAATGAATGTACGCGGCGCTACGACGAGAAACACATTTTGAAAACGGCTCGCCCTCCGTTCATGGAACAATTGCACACTTCAAGCTTCAAGGTCGTAAATGGTGGTGGGGAGGTCTCAGGCGACACGCCCGTGCGACGAGAAGGAACTACTTCTAAGGAAAACGAGCGGAGGAGGAGGGGGAGGAGGAGGAATGCCAGGACGAGGAAAAAAAAATATGAGGAGGAGGAGGAGAAGCATTGCGAAGAGGAGGAGGGCGAGGAGGAGGCAGGAAAAGGGTAAGGAGAGGGTGTCCCAGGAAATCAAGAGCCCCACTCAGGATGTAGGAAACAACAGCCGATGACCTCCTAGGATCCCGAAACCGACAGGAGGGGATCGGCCGAGATCGGGGCCAGCAACTGAATGGACCTGGGTGAGCTGGGTGCAAATCCATCCTCCACCCTCAACAGCTCTGGGCACGAACACCATCCGACAGATTTGCTGTTCTATGAAAAAGAACAGACTCCCGACCTGCCTCGCACACCCTGGATATAAAGGGGCCCCAGAACACACAAATAAATACACACAAATAAATAGATTTCCAATATTTTCCAATATTTTCTGGGTTTTTGTCTTCCCCCCACTTCCCATATTTTCGCATATTTTCCTAGGGATCGACGATTCATTGTGTCTGTGTATTTTTTTCCCCCCCTGAGGATACCGCGGTCGCCATGCCCAAATGGCATCCGTCCTCCCTGGGTGTCCGGCCTCGCATCTCCGACGAGTGACGACTTCATGCCGCGGTCGCCAGGCACCAAGGGGTCCGGCTCCCCTTCGGGATCCCGCCTCGCGTTTTCGGGTGGGGGCCGCCAATTTTTTGGGGAGCGGGCTGGCGGGTAACACTGACATGGGCTGAGCGGCTGGGCACCGAGTGCTGGAACGGACTGGATACTGAACGTTTTCTTCAATTACGACGGCCAAAACTGCAGCCGGATGGCGCAGCCAGCAGCAGCAAGACGTTCTCCAGGTTTTGGGCAGCTCTCGGCGCCGCGACCTGTGGCAGATCCAGTCTTCGAGGTTTCGGCGGCCACAATCGCAGCCCACGGCTGCGAACACACGGCAGGATGACAGTGTAAGGTTTCGCCCCATCCACCGCCCAGGGAAACAACGTCGTGGGACACCACTGGGCTGTGGATATGGATATGATTTGCCCCCAAACGCCCTCCCTATATTCCCCTTTTCTATATTTTTACAATCCGGGGGGCTGGGACCCCCCCCCCGCCCCATGTGGTGTCGCTTGGCGCACCGTGCGACATATAGAACCAGCTGCACAAGCGAACAGCAGCCTTGGGCATGGCAAGGTGGGGGAGGCAAGAGAAAGTGGAAAGCGGGGGGGGCAGGAATGAGCACGGGGCAGAAACAGTTTCGCGAACAGGCTTTCATACTCCTTATGCAGAACGGCCCAAGCCCAACCGACGCCTGGAGTGGACCGACGGCTTCGGCGGCCGAGGGCGCAAGCTGTCACTGGCTTCAGGCTTCGGCGGCTGAGGGCGCAACCAATGGCTAAGTTGAAACAGCATACGATTTTGAGGCTCGGCAGTGCTCGGCAGCCCTCGGCACACGCAATGCAACGGCCAAACCCATGGCAAACAATCTTGAGCTTCGGCGGCCCCCAACGCAACATGGCGCAACCAATGGCCCAGCCAGCACCTGGGGAAACGAAGAGATGCCGATACCGCTACTCACCAGACCTCTCCTGGGGTGCGCTCGGAACAGAACCTTTTGGAGCGAGTGCAGCCGTGGCGACGAGGGCCTCCCAGGAGGCCCAACAAGGCCAGAACGAGAGAAGTGTAGCGGCATCGGTACCTTTTGCTCTCTTGAGTAGCAGCAAGTCTCGCCGGCCCTTGGCAACACCCTTGGCGCAACCAGCGGCAGGCAGCCCCCAGCTCGGGCGACCCCCCAGGTGCAACCCGCGGCGCAACTCACAGGCGATAAGCGCACAAGCTGGGGCCTCGGCGCACTGCCTCTGCGGGTCCAGTGGCGCCCTGCCGTCCAGGCCGTTCGGGCTGGTGCGGCCCCAACGGCGAGCTGCCCCGGAGAAGCCATCAAACCACGAGGTCCAGCGTCGACTCCATAAACCCGCGCGGAGCTGCAGAAGGTTACGTCTGTGGTGTTCTCCTTCTCCCGACAACACCGCCGTCCCCGCTGCCCCCGACTCGTGAGGTCAAGATGGCCCCGCCCATTTTGGACGCCCGAAATGGGCACGGAAACAATAGGCACAATGCCCAACAGCAAATGTTGTCCCAAACCACCAGCGGCCGCTGTTGGGCAGGCGGCCTCCTGTCTCGAATGGACGCAGGCCGCAGCGGCGTGGACAGCGAGTCCTGCTCAAAATGAGCAGGAACTGCTGTTGGGCATTGTACCCATTCTATCCGTACCCATTTCGTTCGTGCAGACCCATGGGGGCGAGGAGCAGGAGGAGGAGGAGGAGGAGGAGGAGGAGGAGGAGGAGGAGGGAGGAGGAGGAGGGGGAGGAGGAGGAGGAGGAGGAGGAGGAGGAGGAGCAGGAGAGGAGAGGAGAGAGAGGAGAGGAGAGGAGAGGGAGGAGAGGAGGAGGAGGAGGAGGAGGAGGGAAGCCATGGGGGCCCGGCGGCGGGCAAACACGCCCGACGCCGCGCGCGCCCGCCCGCCGGCGACCGGCGAGCACCGCCTCGTGCCCGCTCGCCGCGGGCCGCCGCTCGAGGCTGCCGCCCGGGGCGGCGGCGGCGCGCCCCGCGGCGGGGGGCCGCCCCCGCGGCGCGCGCCTGGTGAGCAGCACCTCCGCCAGCATGCCCGCGGCGATGAGGGACATGAGGAGCATCGGGGCGCAGGGCAGGTAGACGGCCGTGCCCTCTCGCATGGGGGGGGGGGGGGGGGGCGGCGCGGGGGGCGCGCGCGCGGCATGCAGCGCACCATGCGGCGGGGGCGCACGGCGGTCTCGTGCTCGGGCGCCCACGCCATCCAGCAGGCGTCAGGCGCTGAAACCACTCACGCGCGCGCTGGGGGAGAGAGAGCGCGTCAGGGCAGGAGGGGGATGAAGAGATTCAGAAGCAGGAGGAGGAGGAGGAGGAGGAGGAGGAGGAGGAGGAGGAGGAGGAGGAGGAGGAGGAGGAGGAGGGGGGTCATATGTCTTTTATATGATGTACAAGACTGCGTTGGCGCTCCGCGCCTCGCACATTGGTCCTTCAAGCTTCGCACATGGTGGCACTTGGCGTCATCTACTTTTGGGCCTTTGAATTTTGTCCGTTTCCTTCAGGAGTCCCCTTGCCCGTTCCTTATTTGCTCTCGCCCTCGATTTGCATTCGTGCGCCACCCGAATTTTTGTTGGGATGCGCTTTGGTTCGAATTTCGAAGCGGATCCGATGACGTGGCGACGAGCACGCTGCCTGGAGGCTCAGAAAAAACGTTGAACCCAAATCGCGTGCCTTCTTCGCTGGATCCTGCGCCTGCAAGTGTCGTGATGGCCTGCGCGTCGATCTTTGACACCGCTTGGACCGTTCAGCCGTGAACGATCGCGCGCTCCCGCTCAGCAGCGGCCGATTCCAGGCCACTGGCCGCTTTCATTCCGACCGCCGGCGCCAGTGTCGGGCTGAGCGAAAGGGGGGGATAGCACAGGGGGGGGTTGAGAATCGGCTCACGTATCTGATTTTCCCGGCGCCTCCCGGCGCCGGAGGCGGCCATGTATCGAGGAATGGGCCCCTCGGTGGGGCCGAAACCAGCTGCATGCAGCAGATTCCGTAACCCCCACTTTCCATATCCCCCTTTCGTCCGGCCCGACAGTGTCGTTTCCTCTGCTCCGGGATCAGTTCTTTAGGCCCTCTGGGTTGCAGCGGTTTGTGGAGGCCGACGTCGAAGCAACACCTCCGAGGATTGCAGAAGCTTCCAGAAGCCCGGCGGTCTCCGGCGGCCCCCAGCGGCATAGAAACCAGGACGCACACACATGGGCCATCGTAGACCCCAGAGGGTGAGGCGTTGAGCTCCGGCGGGGAAAGTTCTGCGGCTCAAGCAATTTGTTGTTTCTTGCTTATCACCCCTCCCCAATTGAAAGGTTCAGGCCGACGTTAGTCGGGGTTCTGCGGGGCACCCGGCTGCGGCTCAAACAATGTGATGTGAGCTATGTTGTGACAACCGTGTGGTGTGAGCTATGTGGTAACTCTGCGATGTGATGGTATCTAGCGGATGCAGGCTGTGTGGTGCAGGCCAGTTGGTACAGCGTTTTTGAAGCTATGCGAAGAGAAAAGACTGGTGTAACCTATATGGTGTGGGGCCCACAAGCGCTCACGATGCGTAGTGGGCGGACACGTGACTAACCCTCGGCCGACCCACTCAAGTTCTGAACACCGATGCAAGAAACTCTAGTGCAAGCACCGTCTGGAAAACCTACGGGAAATCGGTCTTCGTTCATTCGAACCTCAACTTGTCCATCCTTCTCTTCGGTCCTCGTCCTCCTCGCCGCCCCTCCCGCGGCGTCGCCGTCGGTGCCGAGTGCTTCCCCTGGTGATCTGGGGCGACCAATGCAGGAGCGATGCGGGAAACCACGCCGACGACGGTGACGACGACAACGACGACGACGACCACGACGACGGGCGACGGGCGACGAGGACGACTATGACGACCGCAGCGAGGGCGGCAGCGACGGCGAAGACGACGGCAGCGACTACGTCAGCAAGCGATCGCGGAGCCGGGGGCTCGCCTCGGGAGCCTGTGGGCCCGTGGGGGACGAAAGGCCATGCGAAGGAACGCCAACAGAGCAGCGCACTGCCAAGCAGTGCCACTGGACATCAAGCAATGCGTTGTCGAACGCTCCCGCCTTGGATAACTATGGAAGTACACCAGAACCAAGATTCGCCACGCATTTCCGGGGAATTTGGTTGCAACCCCCGGATGTTGGTCAGTCTGGTGTATTTCGTAAGGTTACGCCTTCTGGAAGACGCACGACCATGCACATAAATTGCTTTCGGGGTCCTTCGCGTGGGCACCGCACGGGCTCGCTCGTGGCCCAAGTTGCCCAGTCGCGCAACGCAAGGCAATGGAAAACAACGTCGTATCTTTCCGCATCGTTCCTCTCATCCATCCTCGCTCTCGCCTGGCGTGGCGAGCCGTTCCCCGCCTGCCGCAGGTTTTCTTGCGGAGGCTCCTCGTTGGAGACCCTCTTGGTGGCCTCACGAATGCCTTTCAAGGGTTTTGGGGACCTCTGGAGGCCTCCTGGGCGCCTCTTTGGGCCGTCTTGGGGGTCCTTTTGAAACCCGTTTGGGCAGTCTTGGATCCCTCTTGGGCCGTGCTCGGGCATTCTTGGGAAATTTGGGCCCTCTGCGGGCCTTCGGGGGTCCGTCTTGGGCCCTCCTGGGGACCTCCCATGGCCCATGTGGGTCTCTCTCTTGTGAGCTTTTGGGGGCCTGGTGGTGAGCTTTTTGGGGGAGCCGTCCTGGGGCAGTCTTGGGGCCCTCCTGGGCCGCCTTGACGCCCTCTTGGGCCGTCTTGGGGGCCTTTTGGGCCGTCTCGAGGCCGTCTTGCGCTGTCTTGGGGATCTCCTGCGCCTCTTCGATCGCTTCTCTGATCGCTTCGGGTCTGCTGGGCAGGGCCTGGCAGGGCGCCCTGGGCGGCGTGGCAGGGCTGGGGAGCCTCTTCCAGGGGCGCCCAGGGGCCCCCAAAGCCCCAGATCCCAGGGGGGATTATTTTTTTTTCTGGCGGGGGAGAAGATTTGTCCCGCCCCCCCCGCTCGCAAAATCCAAAGAAGAATATGTATATATTTGTTGGTGTTTATGTATCGATTGATGTTCTTTTTTGTTTATCCTTGTTTTTTTCGCAACCCTCCTTGGTTGAGTATTCGTTTTGAGTAAAACACTGCTCGCGCGTCCTTCTCCTCCTCCCGCCTCCCGCCTCCTCCTGCCCTCTCTTCGCCGTCGCTGGGGGGCTGCGATCTGCGAAACTGTCGCCGCTTTGGAGGGCTGCTGGTGGGTCCAGCGGAGTGAGGCACCGCGCGGACCTGATGTAGACTTCGCCGTCCCTGGGGGGCTGCGATCTGCTAAACTGTCGCCACTTTCGAAGGCTGCTGGTGGGTCCAGCGGAGTGAGGCACCGCGCGGACCTGAGGTAGACCTCGCCGTCCCTGGGGGGCTGCGATCTGCGAAACTGTCGCCACATTCGAAGGCTGCTGGTGGGTCTAGCGGGGTGAAGCACCGCGCAAGCCTGAGGTAGACCTCGCCGTCCCGGGGGGGGGGGGGGCTGCGATCTGCGAAACTGTCGTCACTTTCGGGGGCTGCTGGTGGGCTCGCCACTTTCGAGGGCTGCTGGTGGGTCCAACCACCGCGCAGGCCTGAGGTAGACCTTGCCGTCCCTGGGGGGGGGGGGCTGCTGCGATCTGCGAAACTGTCGTCACTTTCGGGGGCTGCTGGTGGGCTCGCCACTTTCGAAGGCTGCTGGTGGGTTTAGCGGAGTGAGGCACTGCGCAAACCTGAGCGGGACCTCGCCGTCCCTGGGCAGCCATGCCATGTTGTTGCTGCCCCGCCGACGTTTCAAGCTCCTTGCCCACAGTCTTCTTTTGGACCTTGCGTCTTCCTTAGTGACTCAGGGGTTCATTTAGTTACTCATCGTTTTTCCCTTGATTGGGGACCTGCGAACCTTCTGAATGCTGCTCGCAGAAGTGTATGCGTCCATGTCACGTCGCCGCCTTCTCGTGAAATCTCCCAAGCTACTCTTGCCCCGCATTGCGCAGGGGTTGGGTACGCCGCCAGGGTAATTGTTTGCTTATGTAGCTTTTTTGTTGTTCTCTCTCTCGCTCTCTCTCTCTCTCTCTCTCTCCCCCCCTCTCTCTCTCTCTATATATATATATACGAAAATAACCAAACACATAAGCACATACCTACACACACACATATATATATATATATATATATATCTACTTTTATATTTTTATTCCCTGGATCCCCCCCTAAACCGGACCCCCCCAGGGACGCTCCGGACGCCCTTTCGGACGTCTCGGCAGCCCCCTGGACGCCACGCCCTTGGAAAAGCTTCGGTGGCCCTTCCGGGCCTCCCAGGGCGCCTCGCTGGGCCTTGCGAGCCGACTGAAGGCGATCAGAGGGGTCGTCGGAGAGGCGCAAGAGAGACCCAAGACAGCACAAGAGCGCTACAAAAGGAACCTCGATGGTCTGAAGACGGCCCAAGAGGCCCCCAAGACACCCCAAGAGGCCGTTAAGAGAGCCCCGAACAAGCCAAAATCGTCACATTCCTTCAGGAAATACATTTCTGTTGAATATCCGCTTTTTGGGTCTTCGCAGCGTCCAAGACGGCCCAATGGGCCCCCGATCGCGCCCCAAGACGGCCCAAGAGGCCCCCTAGAGGGAGGACGGCGACGACGCGAACGACGAAGAAGGAGGGATGACGGCGACGCCGACGACGACAACGACGAGGGAGGAGGGAAGACGACGACGACGACGAGGGAGGAGGAAGGACGACCACGGCGATGACGACGACGGAAACGACGACGACGCCAAACAGGACGACGACGACGACGACGAGGAAAGACAGAGGACGACGACGGCGACGACGACGACGAGGGAGGAGGGAGGACGGCGACGACGACGACGACGATGCAAAAGCGCGCGCGCACGCTTTTGTTGAAAATCCGTGTTGCGAAACCCAGTGTTTTTGTATGTTTTTGGGGCACTCGATTTTGAAATCCTTCCGAATACGAAGGTTGTTGAAGGATTTCGGCATGCGCGCGCGACGACGCGCGCGCGAGCACTTCGTCTCATTTTTTGCAGAGGACTCTCGCGACGGCACGCGCGCAAGGGCGATCGAACGATTTCGACATGCGCGCGCGAAGCCCGTTTGGCAGCATAATTTGAAAATGTTGAAAAACCTAGGGTTTTCTTAAGATTTCGCAAGAGCGCGCGTGTAATTTTTTTCAGAAAGTCAGTGCTGCGAAACCCTGTGTTCTTGTATGTTTTGTTGGAAACTTGATTTTGAAATCCTTCCGAAACCGATGGTGTTTGAAGGATTTCGGGATGCGCGCGCGACGACGCGCGTGAGCACTTCGTGATAAACGAATGTGCGCGCATAGTATTTGTTGCAGAGGATGGCGGGGGGGGTCGATACCGGCCTGGCTGGGATAATGTGAATTCATATTTAGGATTGACGGTGGGGCATAATCATGTGTGAATTGCAATACGAAGTTGAATAAGCAATAACTCCAGGGGGGGGTAGAGTCTGTTTTCTTTTCGGAAGGAGAATCTGCGAGGCCGCGACGCGGCAGCGACGGGGCGGCGACGGCGACGATGTGGCCGCCAGGCCGACGATCAGGCCCAGACGGGGCGGCGAATGCGACAACATAGCCGCCAGATCGACACGCAGGCCCAGTTCCTTAGAACAGAAATGGGAAACCCTACGAGCAAGCACTGCTTAGAAACTACAGGGTGCAGACCAATTCAACACAACGCAACGCAAGCCACGCATCGCAACGCAAAGCATTGCACTGCAACGCAATGCACGATAATGCATCGCAGTGCAGAACACTGCCCAACAATGCAAAGCAATGCAAACGTATGCACCGAAATGCAATGAAACGCGATGCGAAATAATGCAATGCGAAGCGATGCAACGTAAATCACAGCAGTGCAATGCACCGCAAAGCAATATAATGCGACGCAAGGCAACGCAACGCAAGACAACGCAGTGCAAGAAATGCAACACAACGCAGAGAAACGCAATGCAAAGCAACGCACACCAGTCGACGCAAAGCAATACAACGCAATGCAAAGCAGCGCAATGCGAAGCAATGTCAAGCAGTACGAAACAATGCAAAGCAATGCAACGCTTTGCAAAACAACACAACGCTGTAAAGTAACGCGAAGCCGCGACGAGGCGGCGACGGCGCGGCGACGGCGACAGCATAGCAGCCACACTGGCAACCAGTCCCAGACGACGGGCGGCGATGAGGAGGCGACGGGGCGGCGACGGCAAGCACGGAGCCGCCAGACCGACAACCAGGCCCAGTTCATTAGAATAGAAGTAATAACCCCTAAGTGCAAACACCGTTTCGGCAAAGGGAACCAACAATGGTGCTTTGCCATTTTGTTGAAGGACACCTTGCAGAAGACACGCGCGCGCGAACACCGAAAACATTCAACAATCATCGCGCACCCGTCAACTCTGTCAAACGATGCAATTCGGGCCACACCCGCGCATCTCTGCGCGCGCACGTCGAACGCGTGCCAAAATCATTTGCTTTCTATGCATTGCAACATAACAAAATTCAAATCGTGTGACAATTATTTCTTAGCGTTGCAAGCCGGTCGGAATTATACAAATTCCTGCGCACGCGCTCACGTCCTCATCTTTCTCACCAGTACTATCGTCGGCATCACTGCTAGGTCGTCGACATGATTGCTAGCGTCATCATTGTTACCGTCATCCTCATCACCATCATCTTCATCTCCGTCACCATCGTCGTGATCGTGGTCACCGTCGGCATCAACATCATCATGGTCAGCGTCCTCGTCGTTGTCGTCGCCCACGTCATCATCGCCGCCATCACAATCACCCGCCCCTCTAGTCGTGGATCTGCCTGAGAAGCGGCCTCACATTATTGCGCCAGTTGAGTTTTGCGAACAGGTTGCGGGTGAGGATGGGATGTTTGTTCGAGCAGTGGAGTTGTCAACTGAAGCGTTGCAAGACTTATTCGCGTTCTAAAGGTTGTACTATATAGACTGCGCGCCCCATATAATATTCATACCTAGCCATGCCGACTGCAACGTATAAGTAACATCATACATGGACATCAACACACACACACACCTTGCACATGGAAACTCGGATAACGCGCCATTCCTTGGGGATCCACGCTGGCAACCACACCAAGGATACCAGAAACTTGCCGATGCCGTGGTGCGGTCGCTTCCGATGCCGTCCACTTTTTCACTGGGCAAGTCGCTTGTCATGCAGCGGCTCGTGCTTCATACTTGCGCTGTGCGGACGTGCTCACGTCGAGGAGTCCTAAGCTGCCGGGTCGGCGGGATCGTGCCGTCGGGAAGGTCAGGAAGGTCTGGCCAAACTTATGATCCCCCGCTACTTGTCATCCGGATTGGGCAGTGACTGCTGTGGCATACCACGTGCAGGAACATGCCGTAAACAGACCTACCCTTTCACCGCTTCTGTACTGCGCCGAACGCAACTGACGCGTTGTCTATAGACGCATCCACCCCCGACTGTGTCTATATATGTAATTGACGACAGCCACTGTGTCGACAGACGCTTTTTGATCGACAGTGGCAGCGGTATTTGGTACAGGCCCCAGATCTGGGTCTTCTAGAATAGGGGAACAAAAAGTGACATAAACATAAAAACTCGGAGGTCCGCGCGGATTTCTCGGATCGGCGCTGGGGCCCCCCGGCGGCGCCTCCGGCGCCGCCCCTGGCGCGCTCCGAGCGCCAGGGAGGGGGGTCCAGCGACGATCCGAGACATCCGCGCGGACCTCCGAGTTTTTACCTAACAGCGAAGACTGACAGGTTTCTAGTGGTCTCAAAAGAGAGCATCATGACTCCCCAAAGGGGTCTGGGCAGATGCCGGACGGGTGCCGCGGGAATCCGGGGAGTGCCGCGGGAATCCGGGGACTCCCCATTTTCATTGCCAGGAGCCACATTTTGACTGCCCGGAGTCAACAAAACACAACTCCCAGGCTACATTTTGAATGCCAGGCCACATTTTGAATGCCCGGAGCCAACTGTAAACCACTTCGTGTTGTTTTGTGTTCCCAGAACACCATTCCCAGGCTAATTTTGAATGCCCGGAGCCAACTGTAGGCCACTTCGTGTTCTTCGTGTTCCCAGAATACCATTCCTGCACCATATTTTGATTGCCCGGAGCCAACTGTGGGCCACTTCGTGATCTTCGTGTTCCCAGAACACCAGTCCTGTGCCACATTTTGAATGCCCGAGGCAGGCTGAGGCCGAGGCAGGCTGAGGCCGAGGCAGGCTGAGGCTGAGGCTGAGGCACGCCGAGGCAGGCTGAGGCTGAGGCAGGCTGAGGCTGAGGCTGAGGCAGGCTGAGGCTGAGGCAGGCCGAGGCTGAGGCTGAGGCAGGCTGAGGCTGAGGCTGAGGCCGAGGCAGGCTGAGGCTGAGGCCGAGGCAAGCCGAGGCAGGCTGAGGCTGAGGCTGAGGCTGATGCTGAGGCAGGCTGAGGCTGAGACAGGCTGAGGGGCTGAGGCTGAGGCCGAGGCAGGCTCAGGCCGAGACAGGCTGAGGCTGAGACTGAGGCTGAGGCTGAGGATGAGGCCGAGGCAGGCCGAAGCTGAGACAAGGTGAGGCTGAATGGGGGGGGAAGGGGGGGGGGGGGGGAGGAGGGGAGGCTGAGGCAGGCTGAGGCCGAGGCAGGCTGAGGCCGAGGCAGGCTGAGGCTGAGGCTGAGGCAAGCCGAGGCAGGCTGAGGCTGAGGCTGAGGCTGAGGCTGAGGCAGGCTGAGGCAGGCTGAGGCTGAGGCTGAGGCTGAGGCTGATGCTGAGGCAGGCTGAGGCTGAGACAGGCTGAGGGGCTGAGGCTGAGGCAGGCTGAGGCTGAGGCCGAGGCAGGCTGATGCTGAGGCTGAGGCAAGCCGAGGCAGGCTGAGGCTGAGGCTGAAACAGAAGCAGGTTGAGGCATCCGTAGGAATCCATAGGAATCCTTAGGAATCCCTAGGAATCCTTAGGAATCCGTAGGCATCCTTAGGAATCCGTAGGCATAGTTAAGCATCCTCAGGAATCCTTAGGAATTCTTAGGATTCCATTGGATCCTAAGGCCGTTGCCACTGCGACTGTCATTGCGAATGCGACTGCGACTGCGAGAACAGCAGAATTCTACAACTGGATTCTCACCTGAATCTTAAGGGGAATGCTTCCAAATATGCTTATTCACATCGCTGTCATGCTGCTTTACCGGGATAATTATGTTTATGCCACTTTTTCTTTCCCTATAGAAGCAGGTCGACTTTGCCCTCCAACTGCTGAATCCCCTCCTCCCCCGCAGAAGGCGGGTCGCTCGGGGCGAGCTCAAATCATGCAGCGGGGGCTCCCACGCGGTGGCGCGTCGTGGCCAGCATCGGTCATCATACTGGTTTGCCCCTCGGCAAGCTCACCACCATCACTCTCTCTCCCTCTCTCTCTCTCTCACTCTCTCTCTCTCTATATATATAGTTTCGAAACAATTGGGCCGCCCAAATTGGGCCAATCGTCCACTTGGGCGGATTTGGCACGGGCGTTGGCGGGAGGGGGGAGCGAGGTGGGAGAGGGGAAGGCTGGATGGGGGGAGAAGGACGGTGGGGTGGGGTGGGGAGGCTGGGCTCAGGGCGGGTGGGAAGGCGGAAAGGAGAAAACATGGTGCGGGTGGGTGATGCTTCTCTTTCGCTCACCTTCATCCCCATCTCCCGCCTGGAAACTCCTGATCTCCAACTCGATGGAGTCGATCTTGCGTGGTACGGTCTCCAACTCGCTCCTGAAATTGGACACGCTCGTAGCCAGATCGTACGTGGAGTTTACCGCCAGACCGCCGATCATGGACATCCTCAGCCACACAAGGCAGACGGACGCCAACCACACACACACACCCACACACACACACACACACACACGCGCGCCACAACATGCACCGAGCCTGGCCGGGGCCAATACGGGGCCCAGTGTTGGTGGACTGACAAACGTACAGGCCTCGGAGGACATCAACGAACACTAATGCCACATTCATCTGTCAATGCCTCTCCCAATGATCAATGCTGGCGGTGGGTTGAATGAGTTGCACTTCGACCGCAATCTTACCCGCGCGTGCCAACTTTGAATTCTGGGGTGATGGCGAATGTCTACTAACACCATAGACGAATAAAACACGGCATACACATAATTGTTCGGAGCTCCATACGGACTTCTCGGATCGGCGCTGGACCCCCCTGGCGGCACCTCCAGCGACGCGCCTGCCGCGCTTCACGCTGGATGCTGCGTCATCGAGACCCCGTGTCTGGGGTCCGAGTAGATGGGGCCAGAAGATCTCGTCGCAGCGCCGACACTTCGGCGATGCATCGTCGACGTCGGCGTGGAGAAAATCGGGCTCCCCATCGACCGCACCGCCAATGCATCTCGGCCCATCTGGAAACCTACTACCCTCGTCATACTTAACCTCAACAGTTGCTGGCACGTCATTTCGATTTCGGCGCGCCCCTCAATGTCGACACGCCGCCCTTCAATGTCGGGGCGAAGGCAAAGATAGTCTGACCGAAGTTGACTCGAAAGTTTGACGTCGACCGACATTGGAGGGGCGGCGCATGCAAGTACCCCGCACTCATCGATACTCGACCCCAGATCTTCCGACAAGCAGTTCACCCACGTCAGACATTTTTGAGGTTTATTTTGACGAGGGTTGTAGACTCTGCCGTGCTGGTTCCCCGATCCCAGAAGGCGCGTGCACCGATCCTGAACCCCCGGCTCGCTGTGGCCCCGGCGGCTGCCTCCATCGAGGCAGGTCCGTGGCGCCACGCGTACAGTCGGGGCGTTGACCTAAGGAACGATAAATAAGGAACGAGGCCCTTATTTTTCATGAGTTGAACTTCGATTTCGCAACGAAAACCTAAGGAAAATCCAAGGCAAGCTGCGAAACAATTAAGGAACACGGAGCCCCTCCCCAACGAAAAGGGTTCCTTCTTCAGGGCCCCGACTGTACGACGGCGCGAGGGAACGAGCGCCTGGCCTGGGCAGCAGCAGCAGGCGGTGCCAATGCTGCGGGAAAGGCTTCTACCCACATCCACTGCGTTCTGGAACTTCGGGCCACCCCCCTTCCCCGGAAAAGCCAGAGGCGCCGTGGACATGGAGAAACATCTTGTCCCGAGATGCCAGATGTTTATCCACATCCACTGCGCTTCGGCCTTTTTGCACCCTTCCCCAGAAAGTCCAAGACGCCTCGGACATGTGTATATATATATATGTATATGTACACATATATGTATATATACACATCTATACACATATACACGTGTAAACGTATACATCTTGCTCGCACGAGTGGCGGTGATATTGGCCTTGCTGGACATCGGATGCTGGGAAATGAACACCAGCACCAGCAGAAGGGGGGGCCTCCAACGGGGGGAGGATTAGTCTACAACCCTCGTCAAAATAAACCTCAAACATGTCTGACGTGGTTGAACTGCTTGTCGGAAGATCTGGGGCCGAGTATCGATGAGTGCGGGGTACTTGCATGCGCCGCCCCTCCAATGTCGGTCGACGTCAAACTTTCGAGTCAACTTCGGTCAGACTATCTTTGCACTCGCCCCGACATTGAAGGGGCGGCGTGTCGACATTGAGGGGCGCGCCGAAATCGAAATGACGTGCCAGCAACTTTTGAGGTTCATTTTGACGAGGGTAGTAGGTTTTGGTGCTGGTGGTAATCTGGCGGCCACCTGGGGAGCCCGAATACCAACACCATCACCGACCCGCCATCGCTTGGATGGCCAGTCCCCGTGCCGCATGCTTTCGCAAGATAATCCAGGATGCTCATCGATGGTCCCCGACGAGAGAAATGCACACGTCCGAGCGATGCCAAGCCGACGTCGGGATCATCTCATCTCGGCGGATGCACACTGCCAATGCTGGCGCTGGTGCCAGCCCCTGGGGCTCCGAGGAAGTCCGAGCTACGACCATAAGGAAAGTCACAGAAGGAGCGAAACCCAGTTTCGCCCCGGCAACGCTTGGATCTGCGCTTAATTGTATGCGCATCCCCCTCCGCCGCCCCCTCCTCCTCCTCCTCCTCCTCCTCCTCCTCCTCCTCCTCCTTCTCACCCCTCCTCCTCTTTCTCGTCCTCCCCCCGCCTCCCTGCTGCCCTCCCCTCCTGCTCCACCCCCTCCCCATTTTTCCTCCTCCTCCTCCTCCTCCTCCTCCTCGCCCTCCTCCCCCCCCTCGCCCAACTCCTCGTCGTACCCTTCCCCGCCCCCCGGGCTGCCCAAGGGAGGGCGAGGCCCTGCGGCGTCGCGCAGGGGCGGGCTCCGCCCGCGGCGGGAGCTCCGAGGCTCCGAGGCGCCCGCAGGGGATTCTGGCTGCAGTTCGCCACCTGCGAGAACGTGTGGCTCAGGTTCGAGGCGGTGTCCGCCCCGCCCACAGCGCGGCGGGAGGAGGCGGAGAAGAGACCCAGACCTCCTGGGCGTCGTGGGAAAAAATGCGACGGGAAGTTTGTCGCCATGGTCGGCCTCCGGGGGCCCTTCCCGGGCCTCGGGACCGTCAAAACAGACTCGGGATGAAACACCGGTCCCGGGGAAGGGGTCCAACCAGACCTCTGGGGGTGGACGCCATGAAACAATCATGACGTCGGGGAGTGGGTGCAAATGTGCTTATGCATGCTCATCCACGTATGTGAGCGTGTTAGTGTGTGCGTACGTGTATTCTATATACATGTAAAGCCATTGTATACATACATGCGTATATATATGTGTATATACATACACAACTATATGGATCATACAACTCTGTATACATTATGTCAATGTAGGGATAGTTGTATAAACTACTCACCAGAAACACGCGCACGCGCTTCTCGCGCGAATCAGTTCTAGTCGCGCCTAGGGAACTCGCATCGCAAGTTACTGGTGAGAACTGGAGGGACGAGGTTGGAGGTCATTCGGGGTGGGTTATGGACCTGCGACAATTTGGTTTGGCGATTTGACAACGTGCATCGAGAGCCTTGAGGGGCTCGTCAACGCGGCTTGCGTCTCTTTTGTCCTGCCCTGGGACTGGATGAGGAGCCCGATGAAGAAAAGGGGTGCTCGAGTCGTGATCCATAGTGCACGCCACCATGGGCGAACCAGAATGCATCGAAGCCCGCCTCCCATCGAACAAAACAAAGTTCACCGAAGGGAAGCGTACTTCCAAATCGCATCGGCAGGGCGTGAGGTTCGAGGGCTTTGGCTTTCGGGGGCTCTGATGAGGAGCTTCCCTGGTCGCCTCCAGCCGTCTTTGGGCCGTCTTGGGATACTTGGACGCATGCTTCAGATGCCTGCGCTGGGGGTCTTTTGTAGCCGTGTTGGAGCCTTATGGCACATTTCTTCGAGTAGTTTCGGCACCGCTTTGGAAGTCTCATAGGCTGCCTCGGGGCTGCTTTTGGGCTCTTGGGGGTCGTGTTGGGGCCGCCTTGGGACTCGCTTGTGTCGTCTTGGATCTCTTTGGCTGTGTTGCGTTCCTCGGAGGGCTCCTTGGGCTGTCTTGGGCGCCCTCGTGGGCCGGCCGTCTTGGGCTCAAGGCCGTCAGACAGCCGCCATCGCCGCTGGGTGCAATCTTGGGGCCTGCTTGGCCGTCCTGGACGCGCAGATGCTGGAAAAGCGGGTATGCCAGAAACAAAGAAAACTAAGCAACACAGTGAATATCTCCGATCAGTCACTTTTGGAAGCGTGTTCGGGGGCCCCTCGGGGTCAGAGAACATCTGTGCTCAAAAATGAGCCCGAGGGAAGGGGCTCGCGAGCGCCAGAGTCCTCTCCTGGTATTCATCCCCGTCCGCCTCGACGTCCTCCCCCTCTTCCTCCTCCTCTTCCTCATCTTCCTCCGCCCACTTCTCCTCGTCTTGTGAAGACCTCGACAGTCTCATCGCTGGGCTGCTCTTGGGTTGTTTTGGGTCGCATGCTGACATCGAGGAATTGAGCGCTGTGACCTTCCATACTTCGTTGAAGACAAGACAAACAGAGGCAACACCATACACCCGCGCGACCTCTTCGGGGCCGCGTGGACCTCCTGGAGGCCTCTCGGGGGCCTCGTGGAGGCCTCTTTGGGGCCTTTGCGGGGGCCTCTTCGGGGGCTTCTCTGGCGCCTCTTGGGGCTTCCTGGGAGCCCCTTGGGAGCCTCTTGAAGAATAAGGAGGGCGGGACGGAAGGAGGGTAGAGAAAGGTATACAGACGGAGTGCCAGCAGGTGGAGCGCATAGGGAGTGGGCCACAAACGCGGCGACACTTACAAATTGCGGAGGTACCAGTACCAAAGGAGTGCGGGGTCTCACTGGGATCCCCTCCGCTGAATTTCCCACGGGCCCACAACAGTGGCGACGGATGCGCAGTTGACAGAACCCAGGAAGGATGAGCTTCCCTGCTAATCTGCGAAGGTCATCGCTTCGCTGACCCCTGGCTTGGGGTTCTGCAAACGTGGCGACGGTTGCGCTGTTGGCAGCGCCCAAGAAGGGCGAACCTGGATTCTGACCTGCGTGGGACACCCCTCCGACGGACCGCCCAGTGGCCCACGAAAATAGCGACAATTGCTCAATTAGCAGCGCCGTGAGAGGGCGAGGTTTCATTCGGATCTGCGTAGGGCACAGCACCGCAATACCTCCAATGGGGTCCACCACAGTAGCTACTTTTGGGCATCTGGCAGCGTTTAGGGTGGGCGAAATTTCAATCGGATCTGCGTACGACACCACTCCGCCGGACATCCGTAAACTCACGATCGAGGCGACGGTTGCGCTTTTGGCAGCACCTATGGAAGGCGAAGTTGCGTTCCACCCAGGGCCCCACGAAAGCTGCGACAGCTGCGCAGCCAGCAGCACCCAAGGAGGGAGAGACCCAACTCCAATTCTGATATGCATAAGACACCACCATGCTGAGCCTCCCTGAAGGCAATGAAAGTAGCGACACAGGGGGAGCGAGGTCTCACTCTCAGATGCGTCAGACACCAATCAGCTGGACCTCCCGATGGCTCACGAACGTGGCGACAGTTGGGCAGTCGGCAGTGCGAGGTCTCACTCTGAGCTCTTTAAGGTACCGTTCCGCTGGACCTCCCAGCAGCTCGCAGAGGTGGCGAAAACTGTGCCTGTGGCAGCGCCCAAGGCGGGCGAGGTCTCATTCCGATGTGCCACCTCTCCGCTGACCTCCAAAGGCCCCACGACATGGGCAACACTTGTGCAATAAACAAAATGCAATTTTATGTTTCGTCGCAACGTGGCAAAGGAGATCCGCGTCGGCCAAGCGATGGCAAACACTAGTTCGCCGGTAACAAGAAAAACAACAAGAAAAGAGAACACGGACAGCACGCGGCCGCAGACGGGAGGAAGTGGAGGGGATCACTCACAACACGATGGACATCGATTGGAGTGGCCGAGCGGCATGTCTGCGCGGACGCATCCTGGCAGTGGACGCGGGGCGGCGTCACGGCCACACCCAGGGGCCGAGGCGCAGGCTGCAATGCAAAACGGCGTCGCGGCGTACCAGCACACGAGGGAGATCGGCAAGCGCACCCACGCACAAGGGCAGCATCCAGGTGTCCGACGGTGGCCGAGGGCACCAGGCTTTGCTGCCTGGGGGGCGCGGGGGCGGGAAGGCCCCCTTGTGTGGGGGGGGGGGGGGCGCAAGGGCTCGCGGCGACAATACGCTGCAGAGGCCCTGCGGTGCTGCTCGGGAGCGTCCGTGGGACTGCTGAGCTGCCAGGGAGCACGCCGCAGGTCAGAGACTGCAGAGCTGCCGATGCACCAATCTGAAGGGGAACTGGGACACACAAACAAATACACACAAAATAAACATATCCCCCATATTTTCCCATATTTTCTGGGTTTCTGTCTTCCCCCCAACTTCCCATATTTTCCCATATTTTCTGGGAATCGCCGATTAATTGTGTCTGTGTGTTTTTTCCCCTCCTGACAATCGTGGTGCCACATCACCAGGCCCCACCTGCAGGGGCGCGGGGCGGGGGCGGCGGCGGAGCGGCGGGCGGCGGCCGGGCCGCGCGTGGACAGCGAGCCCGCGCGGGCAAACGTTCAGGAGCTCGACGTCGGCCCAGCGCATCAGGCTCGGCTGCAGGGGCGGACAGGCAGATTGGGCGTGGCTTAATGGGGGGGTCACAAATGGGGGGGTCAGAAAAGGTCCCCTTTCGTGCCCCTTTCGGGCCCCTCCAGAGCCCCAGGGGGCTCGTTTAGGTACCGTTTGGGTACCTTTTCGGACCACACTCGCCCCCCCCCCCCCCCATTTATTATCCCCCATTACGCAGCGCCCAAGCAGAGGCGGGAAAGCCCGTGCCGTGAAGGGGAGGGCCGCAAAACCTCAGCCAATGCTGCCGGAGCCCTACTGTTAGATCGATCGGGCCTGTCCCCCTACGTGGGGATTTTGGACGAAAAATTAGAAATACCCCCCGAATACCCAAACATAAACAAAAAATGTAAAACAATCGTCCCCCGACTATTTTGTTACTATTTTTTCCTACCTAGGCTCTGCCTAGAAGGGTTCTTACTCTCTTAGCTTAAAGGGGCCGGGCAGTGCAAAGCGCCCCGGGCGGTTCCCCCAGTCCCGCCCCGCGGTTCCCCCCAGTCCCCTGGGAGCTTTAGCTTAGCTTTAGCTTAGCTTAGCTTTAGCTTAGCTTTAGCTTAGCTTTAGCTTAGCTTTAGCTTAGCTTTAGCTTAGCTTTAGCTTAGCTTTAGCTTAGCTTTAGCTTAGCTTTTTAGCTAGCTAGCTTTAGCTTAGCTTTAGCTTAGCTTTAGCTTAGCTTTAGCTTAGCTTTAGCTTAGCTTTAGCTTAGCTTTAGCTTAGCTTTAGCTTAGCTTTAGCTTAGCTGTGGCTTAGCTTTAGCTTAGCTTTAGCTTAGCGTTACTGTTACTACAAATGCTGCTTTCCTAGGGGTTCCAACTCCTAGGTAGGGTCGCACTGGGATAATTGAATATTCCCCCTGTAGAGGGACAGGCCCGACTTTACCCTACTGCACTACTCAAAAGCGGCCGCAAGCAGCTGCGCTGCCAGGGGAAACCAACATGCGCCAAGGACGACCGCGCAGCCGATGCCACCAACCGGGGTGACGCAGCGCCAGGTCCCGAATATACAGGGGCTGGAGGGGCGCCCGGCGGGGAGCGGGGCGGGGGGCGGCTGAGCAGGCAGGGGCAGCAGCTGCGGCCGAGCGGCGAGGATGCTGGCGGAGGCGCCAAGGCAGCGACCAGCAGGGCTGTGGGGGGTGGGCCAGCTGCAGGAGAGCGCCCTGGCAGCGGCGCGGCGCTGCGAGTCGCGTGGGGACCCCAAAGCCAGGGCGGGGGCGGGAGTGGGGCCCGGCCGGTGCGTGCCTCACAGCCACGCGCAAGAGAGCGCCTCGCCGCAGGGCTGGCGAGGCGGGCCGCCACGCGCCAGGAGCCGCGGGGCGGGGCGCGAGGGGGCGCCCTGCCGACGGGTGCGAGCGACGCCGCGGGGAGGCCGAAGGGCCGGGAGTGCAGCTGAAGGCACGGCGGAGGGAGTTGGCGCCCGGGGGAGCCCGCCAGGGCAGGGCGGGGGCACCCTCGGCGAGAGAGCCCCGGGCCCGCAAAAATATTGGCAGCACCGACAGGCACGGCCGCCGACTTGCACGCCCGCGGAGCTGAAGCATCGCACATGACTGGTGCGCGAACATCTCGCTGTGGGGGGCGAACATCTCGCTGTGGGGGCACCTGCCTTTGGGGGGTGGGCGCTCCAGCTGTGACGAGGGGAAAGTCCACATGGGAGGGGTGGGCGCCCCCAAGGAGGGAAATAGCACGGGAAGGCACACCACCTGGGGGGTGGCGCGCCCGCGTGAGCCGCACCTGACCGGTGCACATGCCTGTGGGAGGGGCACGGGACCTACCGGGGGGGGGAGTAGGCACTGCGCGAGCGTCATGCTGCCCAGGGCACGGGACACCAAGAAGCTAGAGTCCAAGAGGGCGGGGCGTGCTGAAATGCCAGGCGTAGCGGCCAAATCCCCCGCGCGTGCGGGACTGCTCTCCTGCCGGCCAGGAGAGGCGCCGCCGGCCCTCTCACGTCCCCGGCCTTGTCCTCCTCCACCTGCGCGTGTCGGTCCTGCTGCTGCTGCTGCTGCTTCTGCTGCTGCTGCCGCACACGTCCCTGCCGACGTCGATGCTGTGGTACCGGCAGAGGCTCTGATGTCGTAGTAGGAGGCGTTTAGGTCGTCCATGAACTGCCTGCAGGACTCGTCGTAGCTGCTGGGGTTGTAGCGGCCCTTGCTCCGCCCCTTGCCGTCCCTCGCGTCGCACGCCCGGTTCCAGCCTTCCACGAAGAGCGCTCCGCAGGTGCATTTATTAAAGTCGGCTTATGAGCTCTGGCGCCCACCAGATGTCGCACGCAACGAGACACCCTATAGAGGCTGTCGTATGGATCGTCCCAGCTCCGGCGTCGGTACGCGGGGTCCTCCACCCCTCCGCGGCGGCTGTCGGCTGGAGTGTGCCTCCAATGGGGCGCGACGCCCGCGCCCCACATGCCCTCGCCGGCAGCCTGGCAGCGAGCCGAGCGCAAGGTTGGAGCGCTGAGGGGCACGCAGTACGCATCACTGGACACGTTCGCGCGACCAAACTGCATGGTGTTCCCGCCCGGGGCAGGGGTACCGTCAGTAGTAGTGGCGGGGCGTCCTCCACGGGTGATCCAGGCCAGGTGGGTGCTGTCTGTCCCGTCCCAGACAGTGAGCCACTTGGCCCCGATCCGTGCGCAGAGGTGCAAGCCTGTGTGCACTTCTTCCACCAGCCCCGTCACTCTGCCAGGTGGTAGATCAGACCAAGGCCGCACGCCCGCCTCGTCAGCTAGCCCGTCCCAGCATGGGGGACGCGCGCCGCCGTCATCCCTGGCCCTGGCCATCAGGTAGTGGCCTACCTGCACGTCTGGCGCGATGTCGGCGTGCTGATGCGCAACGGTTGGTAGGATGGAGGGGGCGAAGCTGAGGCGGTGCTCATCGATCGTCTTCGTGCTCCCTGGCGGGTCTGGGCTGCCTTCTGGGTTGTCAGGCTAGGGCGGGAGCGGTGGTCACTCGTCGCCGTCTCCCTCGTCGCCACTCTAGTCTGGGGTGGGGCTGGGCGGATCCCAGGCCGCCTGCTCGCCCTGGGAAGGTGCGGCCTTGCCCTTGCTCGTCCCGGGAACATCCTCGTCAGTCTTCCTCCCGTCTGGGTCGGCCAGGTGATTGGTTCGGCTGGGTAGCCGACGGATGGCCCTTCCTGTGGGATGTGGCGGGGGCCCGCGACCGGGCCGCCAGCCGCCTGCCCCTGTGGATGGCCCGGTGCTGCCCTCCTGGGGGGCGTCTGCTGCCTCGCTGGGAAAGGTGGGACGGCGGCAGCGGGCCAGGGCTGGGGCATTCGTGTTGCGGATGCCTTGGCGTGCCAAGAAAGATGCCAGGACGTCCCCGTCGTATCTGGGCGGGTCAGCGCCGCGCGCGGCCACTCGCGCCCCCAGGGATGGCAGTCGCGCCGCCCTCAGGTGGCCCGATCTGCCGCCCTCGCTCGTGGCACCCAACAGAGAGGGCGAGGGCCCATCCTGCCTTGCGCAGGACACCACTCCGCGGGACCTCCATGGGCGCACGAAGGTGGTGATAGTTGCGCTTCTGGCAGAACGCAGAGAGGGCGAGGTCGCACTCTCATACGTATGCGTAAGACGCCACCCCTCTGGACTCCCATGGCCCACGAACGTGGCGACGGCTTCGCTGTTGGCAACACCCAGTGAGGTCGAGGCCCCATTCTGAACACAACTCCGCTGGACCTCCCAGGGGCCCACGGTATCGGCGGTGGTTGCGCAGGTGGCACCATCCGCGGAGGGCGAGGTCTCATTCCGACCTGTTTATCACACAACTCCACTGGACCTCCCAGGGGCCCACGACAGTGGCGACAGGTTCGTACTTGGCAGCACCCAGAGGGGGCGATACCATATTCTGATTTGCGTCAAACGCCACTCCGCTGGGCGCCCCAGTGGGGCCCACGAGGGTGGCGAGCAGCACAAGGAGAGCAAAGTCTCATTCGGATCTGCGAATGACACAACTCCGCCGGACCTCCCAGGGGCCCACGCTGACGCCACTCCGCTGGACCTCCCAGTGGCGGCAGTTGCGCTGTTGGCAGCACCCAGGAAGGGCGAGGCCTCATCCTGGTTTGCGTAAGGCAGCATTCCGCTGGACCTCCCAATGGCCCACGAATGTGGCGACAATTGCGCTGTCGGCAACGCCCAGGGAGGGCGGGGTCTCGCTCTGAGCTGCGTAAGGCACCACTCCGCTGGACTTCCCAAGGGTCCACGGACGTGGCGACGGTTGTGCAGTTGGCGGCACCCATGGAGGGCGCGGTTTCATTCTGATCTTCTACTCCGCTGCACCCCTCGGGCCAACGAACATGAGCGACGACCATGAGCGAACATGATGGGGGCAGGAGGCGGGACGAGTAGGGAAACGGCAGCACCTCTCTTTCTTCAAAGCGAGAGCCCAGCGCAAGAGGGTTCGGGAACAACTGATGCATGTGTTGCCGCGTTGGCCCTTGTTCGGGGCAGGTGGGTGCCTCTGGACTGGCTTCATATGCCCCCCACCCGAAGCCGAGTCATGGAGCCCCCTTGAGCAAAGGCCTTCGTCAAAAGTTGTTCGACGGTTCGGCAACACTTCCCTCCACCCTTCTCCCTCCCGCATCCACCCCCCTCCTCTCCTGCCTCCGATGCCCCCCCCCATCTCCCCCTACCTCTTCGCCCCCCTCCTCCCTCCTCGCCTCCCATTCCTTCTCCCTCCTCCTTTATCTCCTCCTCCCTCCGCCTCCTCGTCCTCGTTCTCGCCTTCCCCCTCCTCTCAGACATCGTCCCCTGGACCTCTCTGGGGCCGCGCTTAGCATTAAGTGGGGCCTGTCCCCCTACAGGGGGATTTTCGATGCAAATCTAAAATTCCCCCCGACAATTAAAAAATGGCAAAACGTACTACAAAAATAGTCCCCATACGATGTTTGGACTATTTTTGACGATTCCTCCTGTGGAGGCCTGGCTTAAGCTTAGCACTCCCAGAGGGAACTCCGGCGTGGCGACGGGACGCCTCCCGGAGGCACCTCCCCACCATGGCAACTCACGACTTCGCCATGAAGAGCTCGGCGCGGGCGCAAACACACAGCGTGCCCCGCGAGGCGGCACAGGAAACGACACATACACACAGGTAGCTGTACTGCAGACGCTCCCGCAGCAACCATTTCGAGCCTCGATCCTCGATTCCCCATCTGCACACGCATCTCCCCTCGATCCTCGGACCTCGACCACCCCCCAAGCCTAGACCATCAAACCTCGATCATCTAACCTCGAACATCGATGCCCGAGTCTCGATCCACGAATCTCGATCCTCGAAACCCACCCCCTAGATCCATCGAAACTGAGGCAGGCGGACGGCCCGCGCAGCGACGGATAGTTGAGGACGACGCTGTTGCTCTGCAGCATCTGCGCGTTGCCCTTCAGCCTGTCCTCGGGGGAGGCCCGGGGCCGGGACTCGTTGCCGCCGCCGCCGTCGTCGTCGCCTTCCTCCTCCTCCTCCTCCTCCTCCTCCTCCTCCTCCTCCACTTTTTCCCCGTCCTCCTCCTCTTCTTCACCTCTTTCTCCTCGTCCTCCTCCGCCCCCCCCCCATCCTCCTTTGCCTCGCCCTCGCCGCAGTCCTTCTCCTCCGCCTCGATCCCCCGAGGATTGAGGACCGAAGCATCGTGACGCCTGCGGCCCTCCTGGGGCCTCCAGAAGCCTCCAGAGATCTCCGCGTCCGCTTCCTTCTTGGCACGCGCGCCAAGTCTCGTGAGGGGCAAGTGCTGCATGCGCGCACGAGGGGGTTGGGAGGGAGGGGGGAAGGCTTCTAAGAAGGATGCTGCTTCTCAAAGTCGCTGGCCTTACGTTTACAGACAGGGACCGCGCCTTCCAAGAAGCGGCCTCCTTGTAAGAAGCCTTCCCCCCCCCTTCCCCCCCTCTGCGCGTGGCCAGAAGTAATACTCCGGCCGCCCCCCTCCTCTTCCCTCTTCCGCCTCGCCTCGTCCTCGTCCTCCGTCTGCACGTTCGGGGGGAAGGGGTGAGTGGGAACGCTCGGGGGGGGGGGGGCTGGCTCGTGGGGGGGAACATCGATCTCTGGAACCCGCGATGCATCGCCGACAACTCGGCAAAGGGCCCCCCGTAGCAATATCCCCCCTTTTCTGGGCGGGGTGGGCTCTCCGGCCGCGGTCGACGCTTCATGGGCGATGCGGGGCCGAGGCGTCCAGCCCTGAGCCTGTCCTTCCCTGGCGTTGCCCCCGAGGAGGAGGAGGAGGAGGAGGAGGAGGAGGAGGAGGAGGAGGAGGAGGAGGAGGAGGAGGATTGCCACTGAGGGGGGGGTGTCGTCTCGGGCGGCCCCTCTCCGAGGTCCAGCTGCGTGATCAGGATGCCGCTGGTGATCTGCCAGTTGTACAGCCGCCCGAGCACCGCCGCGATGCTGAAGACCACGACCGCCGCGGCCTCGGCTGCCGGCGCGAGGCCGCCAACCGACCGCCTCGCCAACATTGCTTCGCCCAAGAATCGCTTCGCCCAAGCACCGCTTCGCCAGGGGACCGCTTCGCCAGCAGGCCGCTTCGCCGTCGGGCCGCTTCGCCAGCGGACCAAGCCGCCGGCGGACCAGTTTGCCGGCGGCCCGCCGTCGTCGTCGACGCGACGTCGTCGTCCTCGTCGTCCTCGTCGTCGTCGTCGTCGTCGTCGTCGTCGTCGTCGTCGTCGTCAACTTATCGTCGACGTCGCCGCCCTCCTGTTCTGCTTTTGGTTCCTCTCGCCTCCTGCCTGCTGCCCCTGCCTCCCCTTCTCTCGGGTCCCCACCCCTCCCTCCCAGACCCCTGCTCGCCCACCCGCTGAACCTGCTGCTGCTCCTCCGCGCGGCTGCTTCCCGCCTCCCTCTGTTCTTCTTCCTCCTCGCCCTACAGCACCCGATGCGGTCGTGGGGTCGCGCGGTGGCTTCCAGCTCCAGCCCGCCAGCTCGGCGAACCCAGGCGCCTGTCTCTCTTGCTGTCATGTGTGCATGTGGGCGAGGCCCCGCTGTGCTGTGATGGGAGGATCGGCGCCCTGGGCTCTGATCCACTCCATCTCGCCATCCACTGCCTCCTCTTCCTGGGCGCTGCCCACGGACAGTGGCTCTTGGCCCAACCGCCCCCGCGAGCTCCCTTGCCCTCTCGCCGCTCCCCGGGCCGAGCCGTGCCGCCCCGCCCCGCCTCGCCAGCGATCCCCGGCGCCCCCGCTCGTCCCGACGCGACGTTGAGGCAGGCGGGCCGCTGGGGCTCGACGTCGGGCCGATGCCGATGTCGAGCCGACGCCGTCGTTTCGGGCACGCGTCGGGCGCTTTCTCGTGGGGCGGGGCGGGGCGCGTCCTCGCGCCACGCCCCTCTCCTTCTCTTCTTACCCGCATCAGCAAAAGCATGAAGGGGTCCTCCTCATCATCCTGGTCCTCGTCCTCCTCCTCCTCCTCCTCCTCCTCCTCCTCGTCCTCCTCGTCCTCCTCATTATCATCCTCGTCATCTGCCTCCCCCTCCCCGCTGGGCGGGGCACCAGGGCTGCCACTGGCGTGCAGGCGGGCTCCGTCTCATTCTTGTGCCTGTCCGGGTGCTCCTCGTCCACCCACTCGATCCCGACCGAGGAGGGAAGAGGAGGAAGAGGAGGAGGAGGAGGAGGATGAGGATGAGGAGGAGGAAGAGGAAGACAGGGAGGATGATCGGGTGGCATTCCTTGGAGGCCTTTGTTGGCACGATTGGGAGCTACTAAGCTGGATGAACAGGCGATTGAGCCACAGAAAGAGAACTACCAGGCTGTGCCAAGGCGGGCTGGGCCAGACTGAGCCCGGACCAAGCAGCACCGAAAGAATACCGGGGTCGAAGGCCTAATTCAACCTGCCGGGCGTTGCAGTCCAGCGGGGACGAGGATGAGGAAAGTACGCACTCCAAGCAAAGCCTCCACAGCTGGGTATGATGTCCCAGAGAGCTCAGAAAAGAGGGTAAATGCTCGGATGGAGACGGGGACGGGAGAGAGGAGAGAGGAAGGAGGAGGAGGAGGCGGAGGAGGAGGAGGAAGAGGAGGAGGAGGAGGACCAGCGTAAACCTACGACTCACCAACGACGCTGGAATCCACACTCCCTCCGAACTCCCTCTTCATCGGCCCCATGCAAGGGTTCAGTTCCACTGAAGGAAATGCCCCGTCAAGGGACAACAGTGCGATTCCTGAAGCGTGCCTCAACACCATTCTCAGCAGGACTTCAACGCCACGAGTCAACCTGACTGTTGCGTCTTGACGATATTGAATCGAGCCCAAACGCTGATCCTGGGACTTCAACACCGCGAATCAAAATAGCTGTTGCGTTCTGAAAATCCTGAACCATTCTAAAGCACTATACCTGGTACGTTTGCCATGCGAATCAATTCAACTTTTGCAAATTCTTGAACCGATCATGTGCAACGCTATGGCGGGAACCTCATTTTGAAAAAGAGCCACACTCAATCCGTGAAGCTCTTGCAAATGTTTACAACGAATGAGCGCGGCGCTATGGCGATAATCACACTTTGAAAACCACCCGCCCTCAATCCGTGAAGCTCTTGCGCGGCGCTGAGGCGATAACCACATTTTGAACACTACCTGCCTTCAATCCGCGAAGCTGTTGCTGATGTTTGAAGCGAATGTGCGCGACGCTGAAGCGAGAGCCACATTTTGAAAATCACCCGCCCTCTATGTGAAAAAACTGTTGCCACTTTTCAAACACATGAATGGCAAGACATCCTAAGCGAAACGTCCGGCCCGCAATTATGACTGGCCTCGGGGTGCGACGGGGAGGAATTATTCCTTTAGACAAGGAGCGGCGGAGGAGGAGGAGGAAGAGGAGGAGGAGGAGGAGGAGGAGGAGGAGCGAACGCTACAAGTGTAGTACTTGAAGTTTGCTCAACGCAGAGACGAGGGAGGAGGAGGAGGAGGAGGAGGACAAGGAAGGGCGGGGAGGACTGGCGGAGGGGGGGGGGGAGGAACAATGCACACCGGCTCAGCAGAGCCTCGGACCCGGATCTTTGGAGACGCGGCCTGGGCCGATGCCCGCCAAGAGCGGGGCCCCCGACGCCGCGGGTACGGGAGCACCACGGCGTCGGTGGTTCGGAGGCTGACGCGCTCGGCCACGGGCCACCGTCGCCCGTCGGCCTTCGGTGGCGGTCGGCGGTCTCTGGCGATGCTCGGCGGTCTCTGGCGAACGTCCGCACGAAAATTGCACTGCTGCGCTCGAGATGGGGCACGTAGCCGAACGCCCTCAGTCGGGGGTTGCCAGGGGTGTCCCTGACCCAGGGTTTGCGGATGCCACGACATACGGACACTCCCACAGTCACGCTGTTATGATGTTTGTGTATAAACACATGTTTGCATACTTTAACATCCTAACATTAGGCATCTGGCAATCATTTGGCAACATGTCTCCTCTCCATTGATCGTCCTGCGCAACCCAATGTGCCCCCAGGGTTTCCACCGAGCACCCCACGGCCCACAGTTGGCCATCGCTCGGGCGTCGATTCCCTGTGCATGTTTGATTTCGTGCGTGTGCTTTTTCGCAAGGTGACACAACGTACACACTTCCGAGCGATGCCAAGCCAGAACACCCCTCACGAGGCCTGGCGGGCCCTCTGGGGGCCACAAGTGGCGCGCGAGCACAACCCTCTCTCTGCGAGAACCAGAGCAACTCACACGTGTGCGGAACAGTTTGCTGGACCTTGCCAGAAACCCAGTAGCTTGTGGTTTCCACGCCATGCCTGCGAGCACCACGATCGTCCGCGAGCACCCTGGGCCAAGGACACGTTTAGCACACCCCGACACAAGGGTCGCTTCCAAGCCTGGTGCTTCCGGCCCCGTGTCGGTCCGCAGGGGCCCTGGAGGCCGAGGCGGGGCCAACGGCGAGGTCACGCCCGCACATGCCCGCGTGCCTCTTCTGGTTCCCATGGCGCCCGTCCCGGGGCGGTCGGTTGTCGCGGGCGGGCGACAGATCCATATCCAAAGCCTCGCGGGCCGGGCCCCCAGGGCCGCGACCCCATGGATACGGGACGCTCTGGTCCGCGGATGCCCCGCGCGCAGCGTACCCATGCGACCACGAAACTATATACGGGGCCGCGCCCAGTGCAGACCGCGGGGGCGTGGGTGTGGAAACGTTCGCGCCGATCGTGAGGTTGGACGGTTGGTGTGCCTTGTCTTTCCCGAAGAAGGGGGGGGGCACGGCCAGCGTAATGTTGTCCTTCTGGTGGGTCTCGCCCGGGACGTCCGATTCCCTGAAGGCGCGCTTGCAGAATACGCACCGAACGAGGTCCTCGCACAGGTCCACCCCTGGAGGAGCGATGGGCGACGCTGACGGCGAGGGCAGCGATGACGGTGACAGGGGTGCTCAGGACGAGGGCGAAGGCAAGACGACGCCGTCGACGATGACGACGGGGATGATAACACACGTTTCCACAATGAAGGCGAATCGAATCAGACCACGTGAACTCCAATACCGAATACCGATCATGCCACGCAAGTCGGTCGAAAACTCAGTCGAATGCCAGGGTGGAACCCACATGACGGAAGGGAGGCGGCGGCGGCAGCAAGGGAAGGAGGGAGGACGAAGGGCACCGCAAGACCCACAGGGCACACGCAGCCAGTGGCTGAGCCCTCAATTCGGGGCGCGTCAGCCAGCGGCGCTTGGCCACGCGGCGGGGATACCCAGAGGGAGGGAGGGAGGAGAGGGGGAGGAAGGAAGGAGGGACCTAGGAGGAGGAGGAGGAGGAGGGAAGGAGGAGGACAGGGTGAGGATGATGAGGAGGAGGAGGAGGGAAGGAGGAGGAGGAGGAGGAGAAGGAGGAAGGACGTAGGAGGAGGAGGAGGAGGAGGAGGAGGAGGAGGAGGAGGAGGAGGAGGACGAGAAAAACGACCACATGGAGAGACGCGCCGAACTCGGATTCAGGAACTGGAGGAACAGCGGCAGAAGACGAGAAACACCAGTAATCACACACACCATGGGTGGGATGGCACGCGAGAGCCCAGCGAGGCGCTCCGCCATGTCTTCTGAAGAGTTCCTCGACAAGCAGGCGAGAAGGCCAGGAGGAACGATCGAACACCAGGCCCTCGAGGCAGAAGAAAACAAACGAATTGATACAGATGGGGCTCGCCACACGCACTGACCCGAGGCGGCCACCCATCGCCCGAGGTTCGGCGCGGCCAGCCCCTACCGTATTAATGTTGGCACGAGTTGAGACAAGTGGGGCCCGCCACAAGCCTGACCCGAGCCGGCCATCATTCGCCCGAGGTTCGGCGCGGCCAGCCCATACCTACTCATGCTAAATTCGAATGCAACCCAACCAACCACTTCACCGCAGGCTTTGACACCAGACGCCTTCGAGGCATGGGGATGGGGCGCTTGAAGTCTTCCTCGGGATGGCGACCCGAGGCGCAGTTCTCCCGGCGCCTCGGGTCGCCCGAGGTCATCCTGCAACGCCTGCGAATCGCAGGTCGCACGGAGTCGGGGCCCGGCACCCTTCTCCGAGAAAGGACCTCACCTGGTAGAACGCTATCACCATATGGCATCCCCACGCCTGCACAGACTGTGGCCCCCTGGCGGCCTCGGGCGGCACGAACCCGTCAGACGGGGACACCGTGCCGGGAGGGGGCTGCCGTGGCGCGGGGCGGGGCAGCCGAGCGGGGGCGCTTCTCCGAGCCCTCGGCCAGGGAAGACGCGGCCTCTCGCGCCGCGCCGTTGGGGGCGCGGCCCGAACCTAACCCGGCCTGGCCTGGCCCCTGGGCGCCTGGGCCGACCCGCAGGGAGGAGGGGGGTGAGGAGGGGCAGCGTGCTCCCCCCCCCCCTTCCGCCCATTCCCCCCCCCCCCCTCCCTCCCTCCCTCTCCCTTCCACCCCTCCTCCCCCTCCTCCTCTTCCTCCTCCTCCTCCTCCTCCTCCTCCTCCTCCTCCTCTCCCCCTCCTTCGAGCTTCGAGCCGCGGACTTTGTCGATCGATCGCCCCGATGCCCTCGCGCCCTCCTCCTCCTCCAGCCTCCAGCTTCTTTCCCTCCTCTTTACTCCTCTCACCTCTTCTGCCCTCCCCTCGCCCATGAAGGCCTGGAGACCACCCCTGATGGACACTCCCTATCAACAAATGCTGCCCCGCCTGTCACGACCGCGATGGCCAGGCCCACGAACAGCAGGAGGACCGCGGGCAGGCAGCGAGGCGAGATCAGCCCTTCGGGGTGCTCCTGAGGGAGAGATGGACGACCGTCGGCCTGCCCAGGCCATCGACCGAGATGGCCAGGCCCACGAACAGTAGAGGACGGCGGGAAGGCAGCGAGGCGAGATTAGCCCTTCGGGGTGCTCCTGATGAAGAACGTCGACGGCGACCGAGGGGGGGGGAAACGAAGGGGCGGGCCTTCTCGGAAGGCTCGGAAGTCCCACGGCCGTCAGAGAAGTCGGAGCCTTCCCAGAAGACGCAGTAAACTTTTCAGAAGGCGCATGGGCTTCTGAAAAGTACCGCCGCCTTCTGAAACGGCCTTTTCCTTTTCACTCCCTCCCTCGCTCGCCGACGAAAGATGGACGAGCGTCGGCCTACCAAGGCTATCCATCGACCCGAACCACACAAACTGCAATGGGCGTAGGGGGACCAAGATGTGCAACCGGAGTCGAAGTAGCACGCTTGTGTGGGAACGCGTCCGAATTGCAGCGGGATGCGTCAACACTCGTGCGAGGAAGCGAACTAATGTGGGAGACACCCGGAGATACCGATACCGCTACTCCCCGACTCTCTCCTGGGGTGCTTTCTGGCCAGATTTTCGAAGCGAGTCCCGGCGTGACTACGCGGGCCTCCCATCTGGACGTCCGAAATGCGTACGGGAAGAGATGTACAATGCCCACGTCCAAAACCGACAGTGGCCGCTGTTGGGCAAGCGTTTTCTTTTTTCTTCAAAGAACAACGTCCGCGGCGGCGCGGACAGCGAATCCTGGCAACAAGGAACAGGAACTGCTGCTGGCCTTCGTGCTCAGTTTTCCGTACCCGTGACGATCGTCCCGATCCCAGCAGGCCCAGAGAAGCAAACACGAGTCACGGGTGGCGATTGGGAACTTCGCCTCCCCTGAAATATCAGGTCTTCCGTAGCACCAGCACTAATTCTACGCCGTTGCAAAAGTTCGTCGCGCTTATGGGAGCTCGCGCGGGAGGGCGGGCGAAGGTTGACCCCTGTCCCGACCGCGCCAAGCTGCCCCCCTTATCCCTTGAAGAATGCTAGCGGGCTGGGCCAAGAGCGGTCAGATCCAAGATCCGGGATTTCTAAATCCAAGGATTTCTCAAATTGTATGATAATTTATATACAGGACTGCATTGGCGCTTCGCGCCATGCGCCTTGTTCCGGACGCTTCCCTGGCTTGCTTCAGCAGGGGGGACCTCGAAGCCTTGGCGGGCGACCGGCTCATTTTTCGGATATCCCTGGTGCCTGCTGACACCGCGTTCGGCCGATGCGCTTGCACGCTTGTGCGCATCAGTTGGGAAGGAATGGTGACTTTTCACGTGCGACGCTACTTTCAGGAAGTAAGGAGCGTTCCCATGACACGCCGAAGAAGTCGCAGTAGTTTCGAACAAATCGATAATTGGTCGCTTCCTGAATGCCTGGAGGGTTTCAGACACTCAGGAAATCTTCGATCGTCGATCCTCCAATCTAGATCCATTGCCTGTCTTTCTCGAGCGAGGAACTCAAACCTCGAGCCTCAAGCGTGGAACCAAGATCGTCGGGCAAACTCGATGGATTTCGTAGGAGAACGCCGTCTGTGCGTTTGGGGGGCTCTTTGGGGCCGTCCTGGGGCCCTCTTGGGCCGACCTGGGGGCTTCTTAGGCCGTCTTGGGGAGCTGGGGCCCTCCAGAGGTCTTCTGAAGCCATCTAAGGCCCTCTTGCGGGCCTCCAGTGACCTTCCTGGAGGTATCCCATGGCTTTCGTGGGTCTCTCTTGGGAGCCTTCTGGGGGCACCTTGGGCTTCTTGTGGGCAGTCTCGGAGCTCTCTGGGGCAGTCTTGGGGACCTCTTGGGCAGTCTTCAAACACTCTGGGGGGCCTCTTGGGCCGTCTTGAGGCGATATCGGGGGCCCATTGGGCCGTCTTGGACGCTGCGAAGACCCAAACAGCGGATATGCAACACAAGTATATTTCCTGAGGGAATGAGACGATTTTGGCTTCTTCGGGGCTCTCTCAACGGCCTCTTGGGGTGTTTTGGGGTCCGCTTGTGCCGTCTTCAGACCATCGAGGTTCCTCTTGGAGCGCTCCTGTGCTGTCTTGGGTCTCTCTTGCGCCTTTCCGGCGACCCCTTTGATCGCCTTGAATCGATCGGCCCGCAAGGTCCAGCAAGGCGCCCTGGGAGGCCCGGAAGGGCCACCAAACCTTTTCCAAGGGCGTCCAGGGGGCCGCCGCGAGACGTCCGAAAGGGCGGGGGGGTCCGGTTTAAGGAGGGGGTCCAGGTAATACAAATCCGCCGACCCTGTCGGCGTGTGTGAGACGCTTTCGTCCCCGTTGTCGCCACCATCCTCCCCCAGCCATCTAACCTAGCCAATACGAAACCGAACCAGGTCGTCATACAGGAGAAGGCGGAACTCTTCCCTTTGATCCCTCCCCGGGGCAGGGGGGGTGTCCCAGGGGGGTGGTCCCGGGCGGTGGTCCCAAGGGGTGGTCCCGGGGGGTGGTCTCGGGGGGTGGTCCTCCTGGGGGGTGGTCCCGGGGGGGGTCCCGGGGGTAATGTGATGTTTTCCTTACTAGGGCCCCCACTCCACCCTCCTCCTCCTCCTCTTCCTCCTCCTCCTTCTCCTCCTCCTCCTCCTCCTCCTCCTCCTCCTCCTCCTCCTCCTCCTCCTCCTCCTCCCCCTGCTCCCCCCCCGCCCCCTCCCCTCTCCCCCCCCCCTCCCCTCCCCCTCCCCTCCCCCTTCCTCCTCCTCCTACTCCTCCTCCTCTCCTCCTCGTCCTCGTCTTCCTCTCCTGGTCCTCGTCCTCCTCGTCTCCTCGTCCTTCTCGTCCTCTCCTCCTCCTCCTCCCTCCTGCTCCTCCTCCTCCTCCTCCTCGTCCCCTCCTGTCCTCCTCCTCCTCCTCCTCCTCCTCCTCCTCCTCCTCCTCCTCCTCCTCCTCCTCCCCCCCGCACCCCCCCCCCCTCCCCCCTCCTCCACGCCTCCTCTTCCTCCTCCTTCGCCTCCTCCTCCTCCTCATCCTCCTCCTCCTCCTCGTCGTCCTCCTCCGCCACGCCTTTCTGTACCTCCGACCTCTTATCACGCATCCCGTCACCCTCGAGGGCCGATGCATCCAGGGTCGGCGGCACCGGCCGTAAAGCCTTAACAACATAAGACTCAGATTCTATACACATTTTAAACGGGGTAGTTTCAACTCCCGACGTAAAAACACACGATTTTAGAAATCCCACTGGGCGGGATCTTGCCCTGCCAACGCAAGATGATGACATTCCAATTCACGACGAAACTTTGGTAATGCTGGTGAGGGATCCACGATGGCGGTTCATCATCATTCATCGTTCCATGCCATCGCACTCAACCCCACGCATCATCAGCCATTGCCGCCATCGTGCCGCCAGTAAGTGCGATGCATTTTTCGCTCGCGATGAAGCTTCTTGTGCCGCGCGGGATAAACGAAGGCTTCGCCTGCTACGCCAGATCAGACTGGCTTCGCCTGCCACACCAGATGAACCAAGACTTCGCCTGCTGCGCCAAATAAGGAAGAAGGCTCTGCCTGCCACGCCGGATTACCAAACACTCGACCCTCGCCGCGCAACGCCTGAAATACCGCTACGCCGTTACAGAAATCCGTCACTTTTAATTTGAACGTCGAGATGATGCAGATTTAGTCCGATCCTTCCGCGCGGGCGGGCGGGCGAAGGTTGACCCCTGTCCTGACCCCGTCAAGCTGCCCCCTTTCTCTTTAAACCCTGGCGGGCTGGGTCAAGAGCGGTCGGATCAAAGATCCGGCATTTGTAGGTCCAGGATTTGCTCCAGTTATATCGTAAGAAGTATATATTTGTTAAACGGTGTGAATTTGAAATCCCCACGTAAGAACACACGGTTTTAGAAATCCCACCGGGCGGGATCTTGTCCTGCCAGCGCAAGATGAGGACACTCCAATTCATGACACAACTTTTGTAAAACTGATGTATAACATCTTTCCCCGGGGGGGAACCGTCGAGCGAGTTCTTTGTAGCACCCCCTGCGGTTACGAAATCCACTCCTGGGGTGGGGAGAGGGGAACTCTCAAGAATCTTTAAGAATCCTCCTGGAATGTGGAAGAAAAAACCATAGGCATCCTACAATAATCCTTGAGGAATCTTGAGGAATCCTCAGGAATCCAAACGAACCCACAGGAATCCGTCAGGAATCCTTGAGGAATTGTGTGTGATCCTAAGGAATCCTGCAATAATCCGATTGGGGTCCCGACAAGATCCTATTATGATCCAGGAGGGGTCCCGCACAGAGGGTTCTGTGGGCGGAATATCACCTCCAGGAGCTAGACAGTGATGCGTTCCCTTCCGTCGTACAGGGGGTGGTCGACAATGCGTTCCCAGGTATATCTCGTGCGTGCAAGCACTGGAGGCCTCTCGAGCAGGGTCCGAGTAGATGGGGTCGGAGGATCGCGCCGCATCGCCGATGCAACGCCGATGCATCGGCAACGTCGGTGATGCATCGGCGATGTCGGCGTGGAGAAAGTCGGCCTCCACTTCAAGTTGCATCTTCGATGCATCGGCGATGCGGCGCGACCCTCTTCAGCCGTGCTCCGCCCTCCTCTTCCTGTGATCCTCTCAAAGGAGGGCGAGTTGAGACAAGGGTACAGTCAAGCCGTGGAATAAGGATGTGCGATGAGGACGCAAGGGCCTTGGACGCCCATTTCGAAGCTTTTCGAGCGGGGCGCGGCCAACGAGAGCGGGCAAGGATGGGCCGAAGGGCAAGGGTGCCCATCCTTACTATGCGGGTTGACTGTAATTGGCCGACCGACCGTCCTGGCATTTCTATAGCCCTACCACGCTCGTACAACCCAGAAATGTTCTAAGAACAAAAACAATGCTCTTAGAACAGAAGCCCGATGTGTTAAAACAAGACAGGCTCAGCCAGAACTGTTCTAAGAACATTTCGTGCAAAGCACAAACAGGTTCTTAGGACATTGTTTGGTGGGCCTATAGGCGAGCCAGGACGCTTCGCCACTGCTTGAGCTATGGGGCTGGAGGGGCCAACTTCGAGATGTCACAACATGTCGGGATCCTGGTCAAACGGATGTCCCTGCAACGTCGGGCGGAGCGGGAGCCCGAATTCGTGGGCTCGGCTGCCAGCTCAGGTGTGAGCGAGAAGAAGATGTCCGCCACCATGACAACAGCACATTCAGGCATACTGCATTGCCTGCTCGATGTCTGGTTACATATTTCTGTAGTTTTCCACTGCCTCCCCCTCCTCGCCCCCCGCGACACAGCCGCCTTTGAATGACATACCCTGCGTTTTCCATAGTGTTTATCAATATTCCTCCTCCTCCTCCTCCTAATCTGCCCCATCCATCTGCCCCATGCCTCGCTAATGCATGAGACAGAGGAGGAGGAAGGACGGCACATGATGACGAGGAAGCATATGGAGCTGTGGAGGGAGAGCAAGAAAGAAACCGAGTCAGCGGGAGTAGAGCCCAGACCATGATGAACAACACAAACATCACATGGGCCCACCTTCCGAAGTCTTGGGCGAACTCTAAGCCAACCCTGCACGAAAAGATGGGGAACAGAGACTGGGCCAGCTTCCTGAAGCTGCCGAAGAGGCGATGGGCGAGGCAAGCTGGGAGAAGCTCCTCAACTGTAACAGCGGTGATCGCCGCGACCAGGGTCGGCGGCGAGCGAGCGGGGGAAGCGAGAAGGAGACGGCCTTCTCAGAAGGCGGCGGGACTTCTCGGAAGCCCTCGCGCCTTCTGAGAAGTGTCCTTTTCGGGGAGAACTCCGAACCCTTTCCGAAGGTCCCGGGGACTTCCGAGCCTTCTGAGAAGGCCGTCTTCTTCTCACTTCCCCCGCTGGCTCGCCGCCGACAGGGGAGGAGGGCCGTGCACATCTCTCCGCGGGCGGGGGGAGGGCGCGTCCGCAAGCTGCGCCAGGCTCGGGAACTGGTCAGGGCTGCCGAGCCACGTGAACGCCCTGGCCGGCGGCCCACGGCCGCAGGCGAGAAGGGGGAGGACGGCGGAGCGGGATGAACAGGAGGAAGAGCAGGTGGAGGAAAACGGTGATCTCAACCTTCGCGATCCGAGCGCTTCCCCCCGCCCGCCCTCAGTCTTCAATACTGCCTGGCAAGTGCATACCCTGTGCCCTCACGGGCATGCTGTCTTTCACAATGTCTCCGTAGCCTCCTTCACCTTCTGCTGCATCCGCCGGGTGTAATTTGTTGGCCCCACAGCCCGAGTCGGCCCTTGCAGGCGACTATCTCCCGGAAAACGCTCCGGCCCAAGGTTCCCTTTTGGTAAGTTTTACCCCCGGCCTCGACTTGAGCAGGGCCGGCGGAATGGTTCTGCTATGAATCCGCCGGCCCCCTTGTGGGGTCACCAGGCTGCAGGGCGAAGCTGCTGCTCCCTGCACCAGTTGCAGGCTCAAGGCTCCAACATTACAGTCTTGCTTTCTGCTTCTTACTGTAATTTTGTGAAGTCCGCGCGAGGGGGGGAGCCCCAAACCCGGTTACCACGCCCAGATCGCGTTCTCTGAATTCACGGGGGGGGCGTGGGACACGTTGAAAATACATGAGATTCGCGCCCCCGAGGCCGTAATCCGTTGTGAATTACACAATGCTCGCGTCCCCGAAGCCACAAACCTTTGTAAATCAGGCGATTCTTGCGTCCCCGAGGCAGCACATCCTCGTAAATTATGCCATATCCATGCCCCCCAGGCCATACACCTTTCCAAATTACGCCACACTCGCACTGCCGAGGCCAAAGCTCCAAGGCGCCCGAAGATGGTTCCAAGACGGCCCAAGAGGGCCCGGAGAGGCCCCAAGAGCGCTCCGAGAGGCCTCCCGAGAGAGCCCCAAGAGGCCCACATCATACATTTTACGATTGTTTTTGACAGATTTTGGCCTTCTCGCATTTTAGGCTTTCCGACGCTCCAAGACGGTTCAAGAAGCTCCCACGACCGCCCCAACACATGTCAAAACGCTTCCAATAGGGCCCCAAGACGGCCCGAGAGGGCTTCAAGATGGCCCAAGAAGCGCTCAAGACGGCCCAAGAGGGCCCCAAGACGGCCCCAGGAGGGACCCAAGCAGGGGACCACGACCCAACCGAGAAGCCCCCCCCAAGGAGGCCCCAAGAGGCCGCTAACAGGCCCCCAGAGGCCCCAAGAGGCGCCCAAGAGGCCTCCAAGAGGCCCAAAATATACCGCACGAGGCCCCAAGAGACCCCCAAGAGGCGCCCAAACCGCTTCCAAGAGGCCCCCGAAACACGACACCCCAACGCATGTAAAAGAGGCCTCAGACCCACAACCCAGACACGGTGGCGGGATGTGCCGAAGGCCATTCGGGTAGCGCCAACGTCTCAATATGCGCTGATGGTTCCTATCCGCCCCCGCATGATGTTCCCAGATGCGCCGCAAGGCAGCGCCGAGACGCACCGGCGCGACTCTGATAAATGCCATTCTGATAGAGAGGGGGCCGGCGGCAGGGGGCGAAGACCTTACGGATAACAAGGGAGCGTCTGACTTTTTGTTTGACACACACACACACACACACACGTCGGCACACCCCTCACACGTTTCGTGGCCCCATAGGGAGCTCCACCGACGGCCCCAGCGCTACCGCCCGCGTGCGTCCCCCACACACGCACACAAATCGGCACACCCCTCACACGTTTCGTGGCCCCATAGGGAGCTCCACCGAAGGCACCAGTGCCACCGCCCGCATGCGTCCCCCACGCCCATTTACGCACACCCCTCACACGTTTCGTGGCCTCACGCGGAGCTCGACCGAAGGCCCCAGTGCCACCGCACGCATGCGTCCCCCATAGCCATTTCGGCACACCTCTCACACGCTTCGTGGCTCCATAGGGAGCTCCACCGAAGGCCCCAGCGCTACCGCCCGCACGCGTCCCCCACACCCATTTCGGCACACCCCTCACACGCTTCGTGGCCCCATAGGGAGCTCCACCGAAAGCCCCAGTGCCACCGCCCGCATGCGTCCCCCACGCATATTTCGGGACACCCCTCACACGTTTCGTGGCCCCATAGGGAGCTCCACCGAAGGCCCCAGTGCCACCGCCCGCATGCGTCCCCCGCACACATTTCGGCACACCCCTCACTCGTTTCGTGGCCCCATAGGGAGCTCCACCGAAGGCCACAGTGCCACCGCCCGCATGCGCCCCCCACGCGAATTTCGGCACATCCCTCACACGTTTCCTGGCCCCATAAAGGGGCCCCACGGAAGGCGCCAATGCCACCGCCACCATGCGTCCGCCACACTCAAGGTTTCAGAGACAGCTCGGGACCTCTGGGGAGAAGGAGGAGGCGGAGGAGGAGGAGGCCCGCTCCCCCCCCAGGATGTATGTTGCTTTGCATTCGCGGGAGATTCCATTCCACCAGCGAGGGTCTTTCCGGTGTTCCCGCTGTGGTCGCTGTAAACGAGCGGTGGAGGAGTGGCCTGGTGGATGTCGTCGTCGCCGTCGTCGTAAACTCACTCGCGCTCAGATTCAGCCGCGCTCCGTCTCTCGTAATTCGACCAATCGTTTTCCTTCGTGTTATGTATCCGCCACATGTCGGCACGCCCCTCATACGGTTCGTGGGCACCACCGAAGAAGATACGCACAGTTGCGGTACTCACAACTGCATATGGTTGGGTCCTTCGCCAGGATATTTTTTTTCGCCCGCATGCGTCCCCACCATCCAGTACAGCGCTTCGTGGCCCCATACAAAGCTCCACCGACGGCCCCAGCGCTACCGCCCGCATGCGTCCCCCCCAGCCACTACAGCGCTTCGTGGCCCCATACGGAACTCCACCGACGGCCCCTGTGTTACCGCCCGCATGCGTCCCCCCCCCCACCCACTACAGCGCGTCGTGGCCGCATAGGGAGCTCCACCGAAGGTCTTGCTGCCGCTCGCATGCGGCCCCCCCCACCCAGTACAGCGTTTCGGGGCCTCTAGGGAGCTCCCCCTACGGCCCCAGTGTCACCGCCTGGATGCGTCAGCCCCATCCAGTACAGCGCTTCGTGGCCCCATACGGAGCTCCACCGAACGTCCCAGCGCTACCGCCCGCATGCGTCCCCCCCCCAGCACAGCGCTTCGTGGCCCCATACGGAGCTCCACCGACGACCCCATTGCGACCGCGGTGCGTCGCCCCCACTCAGTTCAGCGTTTCGTGGCCCCACAAGGAGTTCCGCCGAAATTCTAAATTTTTCCGCCCGCATGCGTTCCCCCCACCCAGTACACAGGTTCGTGGACCCATAGGGAGCTCCACCGAGTAAGATATTTACAATTGCGGTATTCACAACTGCATATGGTTGGGTCCATCGCCAAGATAACTCTTACCTTTTGTGGAAACATGTTTTTAGCGCGTGCCCGCTCGAGGAACGTGTGCCACTTGATCTCGGGTCTTCGGTGCATAAAAAGGGGTCCGCAGACACACGCTTTTCCTTGTGAGCAATGGACTGCGCAGCGTTTTGTACAGAATCCGCGGTAAAATGCGAAGTCTGGAGGCCTGGGAATTTGTCAGACAATGGAACAAAAACTTAATGTTGGCGCCCCCGCTCGAGGATGGCCCTAAGGTTGTCTCGAGCGAAACGCTTGTGTTGCAGAACTTGAGCGGCCTGGGCGCCCTGGGGTGCGCAAGTGACTCTTGGGGTGCGGACGCGCTGTAATTTGCTGGGGCACGCGGCCCTGGGAGCGCGGACACATCGTAATTCACAGGGGAGCGCGGCCCTGGGAGCGCGGACGCAGGGATCGTGGCCCAGGGAAAGCGGACGCATTGCAATTTACAAGGGATCGTGGCCATGGGAGCACGGACGCAATGTAATTTAGGATGGATCGGCGGACGACATGTAATTTACAAAGGATCCTGGCCTTGGATGGGGCGGACACAGCGAAATTTAGTATCTTGCACAGGATATCTGGAGCTCCGACCATTGTACTTCGGCACGGCCCCCCCTGGCGCGTCGTGCGGCGCGTCCAATGGCGCGTCCCGTGGCACGTCAAGTGGCGCGTTCCGTAGCGCGTCCTCTTGGTGCGTCCCGCGGTGCGCCCCCATGGCGCGTCCCCTGGCGCTTCCTTGGGGCGTTCCGCAGCGCGTCCCCCTGGCATGTCCCCGTGGCATCGCCCAATTGCATATGCAATTGAAGTCCTTAGAAACGATTCCATGCCTCGCAATTCTCAACCCTTTTCCGTGTTCGTGGGTCGATCATGCTTCACGTGTCAAGGCCACCCAGAGGGGTATCTAACATGGTGGCCCCGAGCTGGAACCACGTGTTTTCACTTGTCCAGGCCATCCAATGGGGTGTATAACATGGTGGCCCCGAGATGGAACCACGTGTTCTTGCGTGTCCAGGCCACCCAGGTACGTATCTAACATGATTGCTCGGAGCTGGAACCACGTGGTTTTTACGTATGTGGGCCAACGACGAGGAGGATACCGAACATGTGGTCGTCTGAGAGCCCCCAGCGTGGAAGGGGGGCCACGAGAACCGGACGCAATCAAACTATCGACACCAAATGTGGAAAAACTGGACACCATTTCTTCGGCGTGCGGTTATGCCCGGTTAACAGCGCTGGGGTACCTAACATGGTGGTCCCGAGCTGGGGCCACGTGTGTTCACGTGCCCAGGCCGCCCACGTGGATATCTAACATGGTGGCCCCGGGCTGGAACTGTGTGTTTTCACGTGTCAAAACTACCATGATAAGTATCCAACCTGATGCCCCCGAGCTGGAGCCACGTGCTTATCAAGTGTCCAGGACCCCCAGAAGGGCATCTAACATTGTGGCCTCGAGCTGGAAGCACCTGTTTTCACGTGTCCAAGCCACCCACGGGGATATCTGACATGGTGGCCCCGAACTGAAAACCTACGTTTTATGTCCACGTCGCACAAGGGGTATTAATGTGGTGGTCTCGGGCTAGAGCCACGTGCTTTTGCGTGTCCAGGCCGCCCAAGGGTGAACATCTAATATGATTGCCTCTTGCCCCTCGCTGACACCACCCAAACAACTTACAACAACGGTACCTCACATGGTGGCCCCGAGCTTGAACCGTGTTTTCACGAGCCCCAACCACCCAGAAGGGTATCTAACATGGCGGCACCGAACTGGAACCGCGTGTTTTCACGTGCCCAGGCCACCCAGAACAGGAACCTAGCATGGCGGCCCCGATTTGGAACCACGTGTTGTTACGTGCGCGGGCCACCCAAGGGGGGGTGTCTAACATGTGGTCGTCTGGGCGCCCCCGGCGTGGGGGGGGGGCACAAGAGCCAGACACAATCATCCATAGAAACCGTATGTGCAATAACTGACACAACCTTTCCTGCTGGTAACGCTCCAGACTTCCCACTGAGGTATCTAGCATGGTGGCCCCGAGCTGGAACCACGTGTTTTCACGTGCCCAGGCCACCCATGTGGATCTCTAACATGGTAGAGCCGAGCTGGAACCGCGGTCGCGGTCGTCGCTGTCCGCCGTTGTTGTCGTCGTCGGCATTTCGGCCCGCCCCTTTTCGATGCATTTCGCCTCGGTTTGGACTCGCCCGTAGAACTTCGCCCTGTTGCGGAACATATCCTTTCATAAAGGTCTCGACTGCAATCAACTCTAGGCAAACAATGCGCCCAAGCAGCTCGAGCTTGAGGCCCAACTCAGTTCTGTCAGGATTCGGATCCCAGGGAAGATCTGACGCACGACGCAACAGAGCACAGAAATGTTCAGATCCGCCCCCTTTCGGCGTCCCTCTCCCGAACTGATTTAGTTCTTGAACTCGAGCTGGTCGAGCGCCCCGCGCGTTTCGATTGCGGCCAGATCTGAATTATGCGCTCAGGTAGCGAGCTTAATATTCAGATCAGTTCGATCGGGATCCTGACGCGACGGACAATCTGATCCACAATACAATAGAGCACAGCACTTCGACGCGGCATGGCGCGTCACAGTTCAGCATAGCACGCCAAAGCACAGCCCCTGGCACCGTACATCACCATTGCTACCTTGAGCACTGCAATTGCCCGTCGTCCGAATTTGGCGTCTGGAACCATATCTTTGCTTCAGAATTCTATATCCCTTTCCGGATTCGTGGGTCGATTATATTTGTTTCAGACGCTACAACATCTCGAGGATTGCAGCCCGTTCAAAATGAAAAAAGACAAGAAGAGGCCCCCAGATGTCTCCGCAGATTCCCGAGATGCTTCCAGAGGCCCTTGGAGGTCTCTGGATGTCCTTCGAGGTCTCTGGGGAGGGGGGAGGAGGAAAAGGATGAGGGAGTGGACGGGGGGGGGAGGGAGGATGAGGACGGGGAGGAGGAGGGGGAGGGAAGTCCGAAGAGGACCAGGAGCTCGCAGTTTCAGGAGACTGAAGAAACGCCTTCGCCCGGACACAGCAATCTCAGCCTGCGGGCCCGACTTCTTCTCTCCCCCGCGACGCCTGGATTTCCTTCACGTTTCTGGTGCCTCGCACAGGGTAGGAGGCAGCGCCGGCGGCGGCGAGGAGGAGGAGCAGCCAAGGGCGAGCACCAAAAAATAAAGGAAGCATCGCATCCTCAGCCAGGGCCCGCGGGCGAAGGCGCCGGGGCGGGCGCCCTCGTACACGAGCTGGGGCACGCACTCCTGCGGGGAAGGCTCTCTCTCTTTCTCTCTCTCTCTCTATTTTTTTCCCCTGGCGGGAGGCAGCGTTCGGAGGAGGAACTCCGAGCGTCGCTGGCGGCGCGCACAGGGGGGGGGGGGGCTGGGCATCGCTCGGACGGCCATTGCCCTGTTTTTTTTTTTGGGGGGGTATCGTGCTTGGATTCGTTTCGCAGGATGATCCGGGATGCTCCTTAGTACAGGGCAGTTTTAATACATGGGAATTTGTAAAGTATAAGATTTTAATACACATGATGCATGTATGAATACATTTATGCATGAACTCATCGTTGTTTTCAATACTGGACCCCTGCATCTTTAATACACGATCCGCGCGCGGAGCATGTATTAAAAACGGCACTGTACCCCCCGCCGAGACAAAATGCACACGCCCGAACGATACCAGGGGGGGAGGGGGGGGGGGCGCGAAGGGGGCGGCCTTCTGAGACGGCGGAAGACCTGCTCAGAAGGCAGGGGCCTTCGTAGAAACCCTCCTGGCTTCCCTCCTGTGCGCGCCGCCGGACGGAGCGTCGAGGCTCGGAAGTCAGTGCTCGTCTGTCTTGGGCATCCAGGAGTCTGCACTTCGCCACGGCTGGATCCGCCCAGAGCCTCTGGTCAAAACGCGCACCCCTGGACAACATTGGGGGTCGCTTTCATGAGGGATAGCCGGAGGGGGGCGGGAGGGGGAGACCGATGAGGCTGAGGATGCTTTTCGCTACAATTTTACAAATCAAGATTCTTGCTCGTGATGATTGAAATCTCCTCAGGACAACATCGTGTGATCCGATCAGCAGCTGCAGCAGCGAGGTTGCCACCGATGTGTCGACATCTGGGTTGCCACGCCACCTATGGGTAGACACCAGGGTGTCACCAAGGCGATAAGGAGGACAAGGAGGAACGTGAGCATGGGACGGAGCAGGGGAAAGTAGGAATGCGAGGTGCGCACGGGAAGTGGGCGGTGGATATGATACAACTTCTATGCCCAATGTCGCATGCATGGAGATCGACTGTGATATATCCTGTGATGGTTCCAGCATGTCGACATTTGCATGGGAATCTTTGCATGTGCTTGTGGGGGCCACCAAGCTGCGCGGCAATGCGCTTACAAATGCCGTCAGCTGCAAACTCGCTGCTTAGAAACACGTGTGCGTTGCCTGCAAGATGGCGATTGCACCTACGTGCACCTGGTGGCGGATCATATTTAGCGTAGTGGAAAACGAAGTGCGTGACCAGGAGCTGCATACGTAAGCTTCCACTCGAGATGCGATGCGTGCACAGAGGATCAAGCCGCAGACTATGCATGCGTGGACCAGAACTGAAATCGATTGGCAGGGGATGGAACTGAAACCAGCCAGTGCTTGGTTCAGACGGATTTTATGGGAATGGTCAGCGATATCGGCCGGTGAGCGAATGAAAAGGATTGGCGAGCAATCTAGAATACCGAGTGACAACCGATCTTATGAAGGTGACCCTAACTGCCCACTCAAACATGGCATCTGAACACGATCCTGCGCTGCGACTCTTGAAGACGACCCGCGGTCAGACTGAACTGCCTTGCTCTGTTGCACCCCGAAGGCTGGACAAACACAACAATAGCGATACCGCTTCTCCCCAGACTTGTCCTGGGGCGCAATCTGATCAGAATTTCGAGGAGCATCTAGCCATGGTGACGAGGGTTCTCCAGGACGAGCAGCAGTATCAGTGCCTTTTCTTCCTCTGACCGACGGCAATCCTTGGTGCCAGGGACCGCGCAGTAGAAGTCTGGGCAGTTACACCGCCCCAAGGAGCACACCGCGTTCTTGTTGAGGCACCCCGGCTCTGGCATCACGCACGTTCCAACCTGCTGCGCCGCGGCGGGCGCTGAACCCGCACCCTCCGCCAGGGCTTCGGTGTTTGGAGCACTCCCCTCCCTCCCTCCCTCCCTCCCTCCCCCCCTCGCTCTCTCACTGCCTCGCTCCTCCCTTCATCCCTGGTCCTTGAGGCGCAACCGTAGCGGTGGACCAGCTCAGAAGGCGGAACCATCGAGCTGGAATCGGCGATACATCGCAGATAAATCAGCGATAGGGCTCCGAGAGCAGAACCCCACGTTCCTGGACGGGGTGGGCCATCGGGCCTCGTCGGCGATCAATGGGCGATTGGGGGTCGATGCGCATCCCCCTCTGAGCCACTCCCCCCCCAATGATGCTCGCCGTCTGGTCATCGGGTCGCAACTCGGGCCTCAAGCGGCCGGTCGGGACGATGCGGGCACCCTAGAGGAAGACCCTCGGCGACGCGCAGCTGCTGGAAATGCACCTCGAGGCCGGAACACCGCCACGACCCGACGAAGGCGCCCGAGCACCTCGATCCTCGACGGGATCGCCAGCGCGTCGACACGGCGCGAACCTGCCGCAGACGAGGTCGGAGGGTCGCGCAGCATCGGCTACGCATCGCCGACGCATCGGCGCTGCGCCGGCGACGTCGGCGATGCATCGGCGACGTCGGCGTGAAGAAAATCGGGTTCCACATCGAGCCGCATCGCCGATGTCTCGGCAATGCGGCGCGACCCAGAGATGGAAGTCGACGCAGAGGAACTAGATTGGAAGCTAGCGCGAGGGAACAAGACTGGAACGAAGAAAATGCTGGCTTCCCAACTTCTTGGAAGCGGACTCCAGGTCGCTCGGGGACCTCCTGACCCAGGTCAGTACAGGCCCGGGTCAGTCTGGCCTTCGCGACTCTGGCAACATCCTGCAAGATCCTGCACCCAAGCCAGGGTCAACGTGAGGGATCCTGCAAGATCCTGCAGGATCCTGCGCCCAAGCCGGGGTCAATGCGGCCCTGGGCCCTGCAGGATCCTGCAAGATCGGGCGCTCTGGCTGGCCCCCGCTTTCACTGACCCCCGTCTCAAGGCTCCCGAGTCGCTCCGCTGGCTCTGGTTCCGGGCAGGCTGTGCTGTCCGTCGGAGGGGGAAAGAGGAGGGGAGAAGCAGGCAAGCGGCGACGAACGCGCAGGCTGGAGGCCAGGGCCGGCGAGGCGGGCCGGCGAGGCGGGCCGGCGAGGCGGGAGGGGGCAGGGCGGAGAGAGCGGGCAGGGGGCAGGGAGGAGAGGGAGGGAGACGAGGACCAGAAGAAGAGGGGAAGCAGCCACAATCGGGGGCGGCCACGAGGGGGGCGTCCAAGAGGGGGGGCGCAAATCATGGCCGGCGGCGCGTGCGCGGCCCAGGGACGCAATGAAATAATAGGAGGCGCCATGAAATCTGATGAGACAGCATGACCCACGCCATGACATCCCCTCCCCCCCTATACAGTCGGGGCGTTGACCTAAGGAACCCTAAATAAGGAACGAGGCCCCTTTCTTCCATAAGTTAAACCTCGATGTCCGATCGAAAACCTAGGGAAAACCTGAGGCAAGCTGTGAAGCACTTCAGGAACGCGGAGCCCCTCCCCAACGAAAAGGGCTCCTTCTTCAGGGCCCCGACTGTAGCCATCACCCCCCTCTCTGCCGCCCCCGGCACGCGCAGGCAGGCCGGGCCCAAGACCGGGGCGAGGGAGAGCCATCTCCGCGACGAGGCCACGGGCCCTGCTGACCGGGCGGCGCCGGCGGCGCGGCGGAGCGGCGGAGCGGGCGCGGGCCGGCGCCAGGAAGAGGGCTCCAGGCAAGAGGGCCCCGCCACCGGCCCCTGGGCTGGACGTGCCGGGCCCTCGGGCCCAGGCCCGGAGGTGCCCCTGCACTCACAGTCGGGCGCGTCCCCCCACGGGCGGATTTTGGACGAAGCGCTAAAGTACTCAACAGGTATTCGAGCATGGTCAGACATGGTCAAACATAGGCAAACGTATTCAAAAATGGGTCGCCTCGGATCGTCCGACCTCGATGGGCACTTCCTGCGCACTGTCTGGCTGGGACTGTTTGGGTAGGATTAGGTCGGGCCTGTTCCCCTAGAAGAATGCCTCCGCTTGCGCACTGTTTGGCTAGGATTAGGTCGGGCATGTCCCTCTACAGGGGGATTTTAACCGACAAATAATAATTATTCACTGCGTGGGGATCCCCATATGTGCATCTCCTTGCTGGCGCTCCCTTGGTGGTGGGACTCGGTGAGGACGAATCTGGATTTAAGTGTGACTGAGCTGCCTCTCTCTCTGCTCTCTCTGCTCTCTCTGTCTCTCTCTCTCTCTCTGCCCTCTCTCTGTCTCTGCCTCTCTTTCCCTGCCTCTCTTTCTCTCTGCCTCTCTCTCTCTCTGCCTCTCTCTCTCTCTCTGCCTCTCTCTCTGCTCTCTCTGCTCTCTGCCTCTCTCTCTCTCTCTGCCTCTCTCTCTGTGCCTCTCTCTCTCTGCCTCTATCTCTGCTCTCTCTCTCTCTCTCTCTCTCTCTCCTCTCTCTCTTCTCTCTATTCTCTCTCTGCTCTCTCCTCTCTCTCTCTCTCCCTCTCTCTCTCTCTCGCTCTCTCTCTCTTCTCTTCTCTTCTCTCTCTCTCTCTATCTCTCTCTCTCTCTCTCTCTCTTTGTCTCTCTATCTCTCTCTCTCTCTTCTCTCTCTCTCTCTCTCTCTCTCTCTCTCTCTCTCTCTCTCTCTCTCTCTCTCTCTCTCTCTTCTCTCTCTCTCTGCC